AATTCCTATAGTTCCCGTACGCGTATCGAACGCGCTACGGCTTCGTTCCTATAGGTCTAGGCATCTATCGAGCTATCGACGATTACCTTTTAATCGCGCCTCTAAGGCCTACTAAGAATAATATTAGGGAGGGGCATCTCGAAGGTATAGAACACTCCGGTAGTAATGCGTTCTTAGCCTATAGAGTCGGCGATCCGTAAGCGCAAATAATACGCTCCGTAGTAGTATCCTCGGTCGCCCTAGAAACTGTCGGCGCTAGGTAGCATAGTATTAACAATCCGCTAAGGCTAGTATCGTAGAACGAATTCTTAAGATACTATATTAATGTTAGTAGCATTATCTAATAAGCATTCGACGGATACTTCCCCTTCTTACGTAACGATTGCTCCGCGTACGCGTCCCGTAGGTACTACTACTACTAAGCTACTTAGTTAAGATTCCGTACCTATCCCTAGCTCTTAGGAAGTGCCTTATCTTTTCCCTTAGCCTTCGAGTCGTTCTTCTTCTCTTTAGCATTAGCGGCTACCTTACGTACCGTAGGGTTGTCGTCTTTCTAGAGATAGCGGTTCGGGTACGCGTTCTTATAATAGCCTTTCTAGCGATAGCTATAACATTCGACCTTGCTAATATTATACCTACCTTACGAGTTATCGCCTTTCGTATACTTCCCGCCTACGCTACGGTCGCGATTTAACTACTACTTATAGGCCTAACTATTAGATCGACGCTTCTTGCCTTTACTACCTCCGGTTTTATCGTAGTTACGATCCTTGCGTTTGCTAGACGGCTTATTAGGGATCTCGATGCGCGTCGTAAGCTTTACGAGTTTGTAACGCGTCGTTAGTACTATATAGTATTTAATAATCGCGCTACGAATCGCCGGCTAGAGTTTAACGAGGAGATAGCGGATCCTATACTCCTCGCTATAGTCGCTAAGTTAATCTTCGAGTACTACGAGCTTAAGGGCAAAGCTTTAGACTAACTGTCCCTTACGCTAACGAGCCGCCTTATACTCGAGAGTTACGTCTAGTATACGGTTTATAGGGTCCCCGACGCAGTCCCGATAGAAGGTTTTAAAGTCCTAGTAGGTGTAATTTTGTAGGTCCTTAAGGCTATTTTTATTATACTATCGCTCCTACGCATCGCCTGCGAGGTATATAATACTATAAAGTACCTTGCTTTCGTCTATATAATAGGTAGCTCCGGATAGTATAAAGGTAATAGAAAGTTCTCGAAGGAATCGCCTCGACTCCTTAATCGTATCGCCTTTAAAGGGCTTAGGTTCCTTTAGACGAGGCTTAATAGCCGCAAGGCTAGCGACTGCGTAGCTTATACTAGGTATAGGGGCTACGCTTAGCGCACTTCTGGAAAGAGGTAGTCGATACGAGATAGATTTAGCTCTCTAAGATTTAGGCCTCTAAATCGACTCGTTAGCTAATTCTTCCTCGTCCTTATTGTCGTCGTCGCCTAGGGATAGGGTATCGTAGAACCCTCGCTAGCGGTACCGCTACTCGGAGCTAGCGCATCGCCTACGTCCCTAAGGGCATAAAAACGCGCATTCTCTCGCTTAGCTTCTTAAGCCTAGACTTCTAGCCTAAGCACTTCTTGCTTAGCTAGAAATCGTTTAAGCCGTAGGCGGGTCGCTTCTTAGCGTACCTAGTATTCGGCTTCGTCTTATTATATCGCCGCGTCGTTTTCTAATGCTATCGGCGCTCCTAGGGCATTATTCTACGCGTTTCCCGCGCTCGGCGCATTCGGATCGCTTGCGTTTATCTTTCGGGGTTCTATAGGCCGCTACGAAGGGTAGACGGTTTAGAACTATAAGAAAATAGGTATATAGCAACGTATAGAACACCCTCTACTAATCGCCGTAGTAGAAAGTAGAACTAAACCGTGCCTTTTTTAGAATAGGGCAGAGCGTTTACTATTAACTAGGCTACGTACGGATAGCATATATGCCGAGCCGGCAACCGAGTATATCCGTACGAGCGACCGAGCTTTTCCGCGTATACGCTAAGTAGGCTTTACGCTAGCGAGACAGTACCGTAGTGTACGTAATAACATTACATAATTGTTATATAGGCTTGCTAAGGCATAATAGGAGACTTTACTTGCTTAGGTTCTTGTATCGTAAGACGCTACCTACGATACTAATAATGCTGGCTTCTTCCTCGTTAACCTATTCGTACGAGACGAGAACAACTTCTAGTACCCTATCGCTTGTGTACTTATCGGGAGCTAGTATACTATTGTTCTTACGACTAGCTTCTAGCACTTGTCTTTATAGGCTAATTATAAGAAGCCTAGTAGCTAGTACCTTAGATAGACGATTGTTAATAACTCTATAAGCGAATAGGCTGCCTTCCGGCTCGCTTTTAATAATAAAGTTGTAGTCTATCTGTACTAGCGATACGTTGTCGAGACTATTAGAAAGAAGTTTAGTATTAAGCGTAGGTATAAGAAGATATAATAGGCTCTATTTAGTACGCTGTATTTTATAGAAGACTATAACGAGGCTCTTTAATATATATAGCTTGTAGAAGCCTCGCTACTAGGTAGTTAGTAGGATCTATTAGCTGCCTACTTTAAACGAGAGTACTAGGCAGACTATCGAGTACGCCGAGCTCTAGTACGTATACGCTCGACGGGGCAATCTACGCGTTTTATAGGTAAATATAGCTATTTCTTCCTAATCGCGTACTACGGTTAGAGCTAACTTTCCTCGTAGACGCGTACTACTAGCTATATTAAAGGCTATTATGCCTATTTTAAGCGAGGCAACGAGACGACAATCTATAACTAGTTACTCGTAGGCGCCCTTATATACTCTCTAGATATTAACGACTACTAGTATAACAAAGCCGACGTTACTAAAGCTTCTATACTACAACCGCTACTTTTCCGCTCCCTTAGATACTCGAGGCTTTAAGAATTGCTATACTATCTGTAGATAAAGATTAGCAAGCAGTATAAGATTGTACGTTTACGGTATAAGCGAGGTGCTATTGCCTAGTCTCGTTTTAAACCTACTTTTAACGAAGAGATACCTTCTAAGTGCCTCTACCTATTCTTCCTTAGTTAGTACTAGCCTTGCTACTATATACTATTTAATAGCGAGTTTAAGGATAACTAGTTGTCTCGGAAGCAGGTAGACGAGTATATAGACTACTAGAAGGCAATAGATAGTAGATAAGGCTTAAATAACGCCTTAACGGTCTACGAGGAGTAGTTTAATAGTAATTATATACTAGTCGACGACCTAGCTACAGCAGAACTAGAAGGAGCTACTAGTAACGGCGTATTAGAGCGCAATTACTATATTCTTTTTTATTATATTATCGATAACTTTAAGGAAGACTTCTACCGCCTAGCGAGGGCTACTTAGTTAATAAACAACCTCTTAAAGAAGGACTATAACGACTATATTTAGTATCTCTATAAGTACTATTCGAAGGTTATTAGCGAGGCGATCTACTAACTATTAATAGACTAGTAGCTCGAGAAGGTAAAGTTAGATAACGACTTCTAATATTAAATTAACTAGACTTGCGATATCTTTATTAATAATAATAACGACGACGACGACGATATCGATAACTAGGTTCTTAGTATAATAGCTAATCTAGAAGACGCGACTTATATTAGTAAGACACGGCTTAGTTAATAGGCGCCGCCGCCGCTATCGTTCTCGTTATAACCCTTCTTTCCGACTTAATATACTACGCGCGTATTAAACGACTTCTAATCTACCGCCGGCAGTAATAATATATAGTATAGTAGTAATAGCGAGAGCGACTACTTACTAACTCGCTATCTAGCGGAAATGCTACCTTCTATACCCTTTGTACCTACTACGCCGAGCCGTTTACGCTATTTAACTACCGCCGCTAATAGCGACTTTAGTTAGACCGAGAACCTTCTATAAAATATACTAATCTAACCGCCGCTAAATGTAGATATATAATAGTAGAATAGGCAGTTTAAGCTATACTATAATCTATAGATAGGCGCTATAGAGCGATATAAGATACTACTATAATAGGTACTAAATAAGGAGGTCCTAGAAGAGTAGGTAGAGCGAGTACGATAGTAGCGATAGCGAGGTAGATAGATAGGTAATTAAGGTAAGAGCGCGATAACAATACCTCTATTTTGCTATACTATTAATAGCTTACTAATACTTTAGCTTTATCTATTGCTATTACTAGCGATAGCGAGGTATTGCTAGCGTTACTAGCGTTGCTAGCATCTTACCCGGTTCCTAGTAATATATTGCTATAACGTAGGTTTTGCGTTATTTTGTAGGACCCGCGTACTTCCGGAGGTACGTGCGCTGCCAAGCGTTGCCAGAATACAGACACCCCCTTAACTTCACACCCATGAATCGCAACCACGCTAGTGTGAAAGTGGTTAGTCGTTGCTGAGACGACCCGCAGAGACTTTTCTTGATGAAGACCTGAACATTGGCAATGAACTCCTACGACATCAAATTCTGCATCGTTCGCGCGGGCCAACATGCCACACAGCTTGCACAGCACTTCGCTATGGTCGTGTCACCAAGACATGGAGTTCGGCATTCTCCTCCGCCGATGAATGCATTTTCCCAATTCCAATGTTGTTCATCATAGAAGACGATGATTTGTGTTCACCTCAGGTCACCGACATTGCAGGCATATCTTGACAGCTCGACGTTGCAGTGCTTTGATAAGCAAGCCGCTGGAGCCTTTGAACTCAGTGAGCTTCCCGGGCAGAACTCGGAAGGATCGCGAACGATGGACGGAAGAGGTAAACAATCTTGAACTATGCCACTCTCTCCGCCGACACCTTCACATCCAGACGAGCCATTGGTGCGTTGCTCGATTCGAACAGAAGTTGGCGGTTGATGAGCACATAAATATGACTGTTTCTGCCCAATTCTCCAACAGCATCAACCACCAGCATTCCTCTCCCAAATGGCAACGACCATGAAGAGCCTCATCGTCTACTACGAAAATGACATCCTCAAAACCAAAATCGAACACATCCCGATTCCCACCCCGGGTCCCAAAGAGATCCTCATCAAAGTCCACTATGCAGGCAGCAATCCCAAAGACTGGAAACATCCCCTCCCACGCTTCTACAATAACGCCGTAAACCAAGGCGACGACTGTTCCGGAATAATCGCCGCCCTCGGCCCTGGTGTAAAGTCCTTTCAACTCGGCGAAAGAGTCGCCGGCTTCCATCGAATGGACGAACCCTACGGTACCTACGCAGAATTCGCCATCTGCCCCCAACACACTGTCTTCCGCATTCCATCCACAATGTCATATGCAGAAGCCGCGACAATTCCTCTTGTAGTAAGTACATCGAAGAGCGCAAGACACCACTCCGCTGAGTGACAGCGGCTTGAGATACATAATCTGAGCTCTGCTCCTAGTGCCAAAGACTTCAACACACGCTGACCTCGTTCAGGCATACACAGCAGCCGTAGCCCTATACCGAAACCTAAACCTCCCTACTCCCTGGGAAAGAACCGACTCCCACGCCCCAGAAACTTCGAAAATCCCACTAGTAATCAACGCCGCGAGTTCAGCAGTCGGAGCTTTCGCAGTAAAACTCGCGAAACTGAATCCAAGAATCTCTCCTCTCATCACCACAGCAGGATCTTCCAAGAAATTCGTCGAGAAAGAATTACATCCGGATTTCGTGCTAGATTATCGCTCTCCCGACCTAGCGGCGCAGGTGAAAAACGCTCTAAAAGGAAAGAAATTACACCACGTCTCCGATGCAACGAATACCCTCCAATCCATCAAATCCCTCACATCACTCCTAACCCCCGATTCTACTTCGAAATACACTTGTTTCTCTACAATCGAAGACCAAGAACGAATTTTAAAAGGACTCGGGAGTGTGGTATGAGATTACTTTTGTGGGAGATGTTCATGGGCAGGCTCTTGTCGGAGTTGGTCTGCAAGAGATTAAGGCTGGAGGAGAGATTTTCGGGAGGATTATGAGTCAGGTTTTTGAGGAGATGCTTGAAGAGGGGGTTTTGGTGGGGCATCCTCATGAGGTTGTGGAGGGTGGACTTGAAGGGGTTAGGGATGCGTTGGTGGAATTGAAGGAGAGGAAGAGGGGTGGGAATCGGAAGTTTGTTACGAGGATTGTGGTGGATGATGATGAGGAGAGGGTGGAGTGAGATTTCGGAGTGGAGGAATCATGTAGTCACTACTGTTGTCTTTGGCTTGCTCGGCCCGCGTTGTCGTTTGGATCTCGATTGTTTAAATCATCGTTCTGGCTTAGCTGATCGCTCGCATGCATCCGACGCAGCCTTTCTATGCTCTTTACGCCCCCTGTCGTTCTTGTCCTTGTCCTTCTCTTTCTCTACTTTGCTCAATCCTTCTCCAGCATCATTTGCGCAGCCATGACCGATCACAGTCTGACGTGATGCAACAGGTTGGGGACGGACATCATGGCGAGTGGTAGCAGGTGCATTATGCTCATCTTGAGCTAGACGTTGTTGCTCGACCATTCTCCGTAGTTGACTAAGGGTGGGTGGTGTACGTCTACGCGTAGGTCCGCCGCCTGTGCTGGCCGGCTCGACGAGCCCTTCACTGTTGGCCATTGGCCTTCCGATTCTAGCCCTATGACCTGAGTCTCGGGCCCTGGCAATTGGTTGATTTGGTGTTTGACTATCCTGCGTGGGGCCTCCTTCGCCTAGTAACTTGTAGGCCGCTCTCGGAGCGCGACTGTTTCTTTTCGGCATCTTGAAATTTACGCTCCAGGTTCACGAAGACAACGGGAGCCACGAAGATCGAGTCATATGTAATGGAATATGGAGACAGCACACATCGCTGGCGTTTTGGGTAGATTCTAGCCAGTTCCTCGAATGTCTCGGTCCAAGACATGTGTAGACCCGGCCTTTGTCTGGGTCAAGTGCTATGAATTGCGGTAGAATTTCCCATTGATGCTTGGCACCCAATTCAGCGTTACTAGGACATGTAAAGAAATTGAGGAAGTATGGAACGGCTCGGCAATGCATGACAGTGAGAACTTTGCTTCAGGTAGCATTAGGCCTACGGACTCCCGTTGTCAGCTGTATTGCAACGAGGCATTTGAGCTGCTCAAGCCAAGCATTACTGAAGACTTCTTCAGAAAATCGCCAGCTGCTCTTCCGTGCCCGCAAACGCATCGCGAGAATCTCTTCTTCTGAAAGTGTTAAAGCGTTTGCGAATCCGTCCGCGAACTCTTGAGGCGTGGTTGCGTGAAATCCTGATGAACGTTAGCACCTTCAGAAGATGAGTCGGCGTGTGGACTCACCTGTTGGCTTGCCGTCGATTGGAACGACTATGTCAAGCTTTGGCCCACCAGAGTTATTGACGACACTGATTAGACCAGCAGCCTGGTATTCGACCACACCAATACCAAAGTGCTCGTTCCACATGCCGTTGACACCGACTGAGCTGGACTTTAGGTATTCCAGAATCTGAGGCCACTTGGCGTTCACGACAAAATCGACGCTGTCTTTGATCTCTTGTGCTTGTAATCGTAACTTGTACACTCGCTTCTCGTCGTGGTCATCCCGCACACTACCAACAAGAATCAGGCGCGGCCGAGATTCAACCGGAGTGTCCTTGTGATGAGTTTTGAGGAAAAGGTGAAATGCCTCGATAATGGTCTGATGCATCTTTTCAGGCCGGAATTGTGCAATGTATAGCAGATTTCGTGTTCGCTGCTTCTCGCTCTCAGCATCGACAGGGATCTTCTCCTGCAATTCAGCCACAGCGCAAGGCGGATAGACAACGCGAATGCTGTGCTGCTTCGACTTCCTACTACGTGAAGGAACCCACAATGACTGGACGTGGTTCTGTGTCCATGTCGAGTTGGTCATCACAACGTCTATCGATCCACCTGTCCAAGAGTAAAGCTTGGCGAAGAGCTCCCAATAGATCTGCTTGACCTTGCCTCTGAGCCCACTGCCGGCGCCGGCATTGAGTCCATGACGATCGTCTTGGTGAAGCGATTGCAACATGTCTGTGCTTATGGTCGGGTAGTGCACGTAAGCTGCAGTAGGAAGTTCTGGAAAGAGCCACTTGCATAGCCAAAGGCAAAATGAGTAGCCCATAGTGTCGACTAGGATGTCTGGTGCGAGTAGAGTCATGGCGTCCCAAGCTAGCCACAAGCTACCAATACTCTGGCCCAACAATGTGAAGTATGGCCACTTGGTCGCAAGAACCATGTCTCTCGTTGTCAGGTAGAGGAATACGAGTCTTGCTGGGTTGAGATGGATGTTGAAGCGATTTCGTACGTTGGAGAGAATCTGGTCTCTGCTTGCATCGTGGTCGCCGGTGTATACTACACACAGTGCTTTTGGGTATCGTTGCTGGGTGGCTAGGATAGCTGCAAACAGGACACGCTCGCCGCCTCCTCCAGCATTGCAAAAAGGATGGAAGAAGCCAATCACTCCGTCGTAGTTGTCGTCTCGGGCTTTCGCAGAATCGGTGTGAGGGTGTTCAGGGGTGTGCTGTCCCGTCCGAGTCTTGCCGCCGCCATCGTCGACCTGCTCCCATTCCGAGTCGAGCGAAGTGGACGATGATGCCGTCTTGCTCACTACCCGGCCCGTGCCAGCCTGCTCCTGCTCCTGCTCCTGCTCCTGCTTCTTCTGTGTCTTGTGTTCTTCCTCTTCTGTCTGCGCTCTCCGGATCAGAATCTGCCTCCGATGCTGCGTCTTACTTCGGATGCTCTTTCCGATCACCTTGCCGATCAGGCGGAATGCGAAGGGGAGAGCTCCAGCTGCGGCCACCAGGCTCAGCAGCAGGGCGAAGAGCGTGGTCAGCAAAGCCATGATGCCGTGCCGTGCAGCTGCTTTAGCGATCCATGGAGGAGATGTGGAGGAAATGTCAGAATGGCGGTGGCGGTGCGCTATAGAATATCATGTCACTCGCACACGGCTGGCATGTGATGTGAGCACTGAGCAGGATGTGCATGTGCCCTCGGTGACTGATCCCGGGTCTGTTCGTGTTAGAATATTAGTCTGCAGTCTGCCAGAATTTCTAATTAGAACTCCCTGCCCTGGCCTGTTGGCTGTTGCGCCCAACACCACGAGGTCCACGACGTGTCACAGCCCAGACCCTGCATCACGCGTGCAGCGGTCGGAGCTTTTCATTCACCTCCGTCACTTCTCAGAAATGTCTCGCACGTGAAATATAGCCTTCGCGGCTCTTCGAAACCATCCTCCGCCTGCTGCACGCGCAATGCCATCTGTTCTCGCAACACGCTCTTTACGGAAACACTTCCTCCAACTGCCGCCCTCCATACGAGCCTCCATCTGCCCAAATGCACTCCCGCGGCGACACTTCTCAGCATGGGCACCTGCACCGGCTGCACTCACACACCTTGCCGTCGAAACCCCCTTGGCCGTTCTCGAGGGCGTGCATGCAATGGGCGTGCCGTGGTGGGCTGCTATCCCGCTCTCGGCAGCCCTAGTACAATGCACTCTGGTATATTACTGGTCTGCAAAGCCTGCTCGAAAGCGAGAGATCATCAGAACACATTTGTTCCCACTGGTGCAGAACAGTGCGAAGAGAGCAGTGGACAAGCACATGACTCCGATGTTGGAAGAGGTGAAATCAGGAGCATTGCCTCCACAGCTTCTGGGAATCCGAATGCGGCTACTGGCGGTCATTTTCAATGTAAGAGAATCGCATCGATTAGGGAAGACTTTCAATGCTCCACTGTTCACTTGGACTGCGCCTTTAAACTTCATTACTCTTCTGGCATTCGCAGAGGCCATAAGAATTAAATGTGGGACAAGACAAGGACTTCTGTCCATGATACTGCCGCGACTCGAAGAAGCAAATTCTGGAGGTGAGAGTGCGCAAACCACCCAAGAAAAGGCAGATGAGGCTCTCGCACAGCGGCTTGAAGCCCAACTTGAGCGTATTGAATCGTCTCGAGCGGCACAGGAAAATGGCAGTGATGCGTTCGAGTACATGAATGCTGCGGCAGCTGTAGACCCGTCATACAGTACTGCTGGTCACAGCCTACAAGCTCCAATCCAACCACCGGCATACGCTGAATATGCAGACCCGAAGATGGCTACTGAGGGCATAGCATGGATTTCTGACCTTACTGTCCCGGATCCTAATGGGATTCTACCCATAGCTCTTGGTGCCGTCTTTCTAGCGGGCGTAAATTGGAAGAGCGTAACGAAGCCATCGAGCATACACCAGCGCCCAAAATCACAAGACGAGAACAAGACTGAGGATGCGCCTGTCATAGAGGCTCCGCCAAAAGCATCTTCAGCACCACCTGCCCAAGACGCTGTGCTCGAACAGCAACGAAAAGTCAATGCCGACATCAATGCCGCTCTCTTAAAGGCTGATGAATTGCGAGCGGCTACGACAAGGAAAAGTGAGGAATGGTCGCCTTTCGGCCAACTGACCGGAGGCGACAGGATGAAAATCGTAATGGCGGGCCTTTTCACATTCGTGTCGTTGCAGTTGCCGGCGGCCATTGTGCTGTATATCATGACCAACGCGATCATAGGCAGGCTCCAGAAAAGATGGCTCGACATCAAGTATCCTTTGCCTCCACTCATCCACCCTTGCAAGAGACCGATGAGGATCAAGGTCAGGAGAGTCTTTAGAGATGGTTGAGCACTTCCTAAGTATGGGATGAATCCATTCGTGAACGCCTTGACTCTGCAGTCATGCTATACGCAAGGGGGCACACGGCTCAGACTGCAATGTAGCGCAATTCGCTTCATTGTTCAGCAGTGCGTTAGGCACGTTCCGGCTTTGACGCTCAAGCATGATCGAGCGGTTCAGCAACAAATTGCCCAAGCAAGGGCGTGGTCCGCAGTGTGGAGCACCTACACACATTATTCCTTTGTATGCTCTCCAGTTCCAATACTCTGGACCCGCACGTGGCAGACAATCGACAAAGACTCGCCAACTCCGGATATCTGTACCACAAAGAACAACGGGAGAAGACTCGACAATATGTCGTGCCGAAACATCCCCAATGCGTCGCTTGGCCAGTCCATGAAAGCAGCGCTCTGCTGCCACGATCATATTCCTTCGCCTTCAAGCTCCAAGGGCCATCTTCAGTCTCACTACCCAACAACACCTGGACTGAGCCCTCACCCTCTGCCCTAGAAACCACAAAAATGTGCAAATCCTTCCACAACCTCTACACCTGCGGCCACGCCAGCAAACCCCAAATCGACTTCTGTCCCCTCTCCACCCCCTCAAGGTCCACCCGCGCCCACTTCGAATCCCGCCAACCCTGCGACCTGATAAACAAACAACCCATGGAAGGTCGCAGAAAAGAGTACTGTTGCAAGCCCGCGTGCTGCGAGAAGAAAGTCGCAGAAGTCAAACTCAAATCGGATCTTGTGAAGCGGAAACTCGAGAAGCAGAAGGGGAGTAAGCGGAAAAGTCAGGATTTGGGGGAGATGAAAAAATTGGAGGAGGAGTTTGAACGTAGGGCTCGAGAGTGGATTTCGGAGAAGGGGGTTCATGGGGGGTGTAGGGAGAGGAGGAATGGGGATGATGAGTGAGTGAGGGAGGGAGGATGTGGATGTGGATGTGGACGTGGACGTGGATGTGGATGTGGAAGGTTGTGTTTGATACCACCTGAATCTCGTTCTCGTTCTCTAGTTTAATAACACGAAGGAAAATAAATATTCAAAACAACCACTAGAGCGAGCGCAAATCCGCTCAAGCCCTCACTTCAAACATGCTCTTTAACGAAAACTCGCTAATCACGAAACTTCACAAATATAGACGCTTGCTAACCACCCAGATGCACCCTCCTCATGTACCATTTCCCTCACCATTCCTGCCTTAGACATTAAAAACAACTCTCTCTCCCTCTCCCTCTCCCTCTCTCCTTCTTCACCCTAACATCCACGCCACCAACCCCCCAGACCCAACCGCATCCACAATCAAAACAAAAATACTGATCGCCCAAGCCGCATAAGATATTGGTTTCCCTCTTCGACTCCCACTTCTAATCACATTCATAAAACCCAAAAGGACGAAGCCCAGACTGCAGAGAATGGAGAAGAAGACTCCGATATGGACTTCTTGTAGGTACTTATGTCGTCCTGTTTGGTGCAGGATATATGCCACGAAGAGGAGAGATAGAGAGGCTGCGAGACAGATTGAGCTGAATTGGGGGAGGAAGAAGGCGGGAGTTTCTTCTCGCCGACTACCGCTCGTTCTGTTCGAGGCAGGTCTTGCGAATGTGCCGAAAGAAGTTGTGGGCTTGGAGAGTCGAGTGACTTGGCCGTCTGGTTCTTCATCCGAGGATTCTTCGTCTTCTTTGGGAGATGCGGCGTCGTATAGCAACGCTTCTTCCTCGGGTTTCTTTTGGCGAGTGAAGAAGTTTCCTATTCTGTCGAAGAAGCGGTCAAAGGCATTTGTCTCGTTGGGATCCACGTATATGTAAAAGCCGTTCTGGTCTTCGTCCTCAGGATTGTCGTATTCGCTCCAATATTTCTGCTTTGGTGATTCTGCCTCTGGATATATTCGTCTTTTCTTCTTCCGGAGCGACTTTAAAGGTGCCGATTCGAGCTGTAATGGGCTCTCGATAGATGTGTCGACTGCTGTTGAACTATCTGTGCCTGCTCTTATAGATTCATTTGAGTCTGCCGAATGCGAGCCGGAAGCTCTCACATCGCCTGCAGTGCTTGCTCGTTTCATGGCTGGGGGTGGCAACTTTCGGATGTCTTGTGAAAGCATTGGAAGCCAAAATGGAGCAGGAATATTGCTTGGTTTATGCGTCTGCCAGATAGCATGATACTCCAAGGAAAAGCCACGAACTCTTTCGACCAGGTGGCTGTTATCCAGAGCAGCGAGTAATTCTGACTTTGGTATTCCTTCCTGCCGCACCAGGAGGAGCGCAAACGGAAATGTGGTTTCAGTCGGCTTGCTTCCTTCTGACCCAGCTGTTTCGATTGTGATGCCAGTATCTAATGTTGCCAGCACTAAGCCATCCGCACTCTCATCGAGACCGACTAGGCGTGAGCGACAACTGGAGAAGTGGAACAGCGGCAGGATGTCATCCTTCAGCAATTCCTTACGCAGCTCTTCCACCCTCTCACTGCTATCCGCAAGAGCCACTCCACGCGTCTGAGAAAAGTCGGCATTCTTGTCAAAGAAGTCTCGCACGTGCTTCTTCTTTATATATGCGCTCTTTGTCCTTCCATTCCTACAGCGAAGGCACGCAAGCGCATCCTCGGTGTGGTTCCATCTCACACACGCTTTTGCTCTTTGCGGGTAGCTGCCGGGGGCGTGTTCTCGATCGTCGACTGTGAGCGCACTCTGTTCTTGTGCGAATCGTTGGAGATTATCGGCGGCGAGCATGTGATAGTCCGCAAAGTCGATCCGGCCAGTGTTGGGAGTATGCGGTTGCGATGTCACGGGCGTAGCGACGGAGCTCTGCCGGCTTCGGCTGCTGTAGAACCTGGCATATTGTAGCAAGAGCATCTGCAGCTCTACAACATTCTCGGGATGCACAAAGTAGCTGGCGAATTGGCCAGCGTCACCCAATGGCACAGTTGCAATGTTGGCGTCGAAAGTCACTTTCGATCCACTTTCTACCGTCTCTTGCAACTGCTTGATCGCAGAAGTGCTAGCCTCTGGGACCTGTGCTTCAGATGATCGTCCACCTGCTGACTGTTGCATCTGGCTCTCATACAGATCTCTTATGCTCTGTCGTGTAGCTGAGTAATCGTCCAGCAGCGGCCCAAGGTCGAGCTTCGTGAAGCTTTTCGGGTCGTCCAGCACTTCGTCGCGGAAGCGGTCTTCGAGTTCTGCCGATCCGGTCCATTTCTTGTATTTCTTGATCAGCTTTCGGAAAGCAGTCCTTTGCGTGGCTGTAAATCGCGCGAGAGACTTAATCTCGTCTCCGGCCTTGATAACATCGTTCTCCAATCGTCCATACCGCTCCAGACGACTGACGGGAATTCTGCTGTCGGCATTGAGTGTCCGCCGTGCTGCAAGTGATCGGAGCTGCTTTTTGGCATGATCTGTTCCGGTGTTAGAAATGCGAGATGCGACTTTGGTGACCGGTGCTTGTATGCAGATCTCAAGGTGTCGGAAGCCGGAAATTAGCGGAGATACCTCATGCATGTTCCCGATCGAGTCGGCAGAAACATTGCGACGCAGCACAGCACGTCATGATTCTGCTGTTCCTTCACACCCCGTCAGTCTGAAGAAAAGGCTGAGCTTACCGAGTCGTCGTTGGATCTCGCCCGATTTGCTTCTTGCAAACAGGTCTATGCGATGGTGCTGGTCGGCCAAGATGTGAAAGAGGGCATGCTCGAAATGCTCGAGCTTATCGTCGCCTTTTCCGGGCACCGACACGCTCTTGCCTTTGCCCGGGGTGGTGTTTTCTTTGATGAAGTGCTTGATATCGTCGTAATCAATGTTGTCTGCATTGGCATTAGCCGTGTTCAGCGAGCGATTCCACGCAAGCAAGCCGAGCAGAGCCATGGATGGGACTTTCCAGTGCCGGCAGGAAGCAGCAGCGCGAGCAGAGGTGATACTTACGATGGCTCCAAGCAGGAATTGAGCGCTGCCTCAACGTCTCGCCGTACTTCATGATGCGCTGGCTGCCTGCCTGCCGATCTGTGCGAGTGAGGCGAGAATGGTCCAGGTTGCTGAGGTAGGGACCGGTTTCCAATGTGTTGTTGTTATCGTCGTGACATGGCGCTGCGTCATACGCTCGTGAGCGGAGAGGCGGTCGGCCTGTATATCAGACTGAGATCAAGAGCCGTGGGTGGGGAAAGGTCATGTATCCTCGCAGTGAATGGCTGAATGCAACGCAATTGGCTTCTTCATAAAGTTTCGAGTGAGCAGACAAGGATAGCCCACTCACTCTCACTCGTCAGCCCTGCCACCGCGATCCACGAAAGCCGAAAGCTGGCTCATGCAACAGATAGGCTAAAGCACATTTGACTGAGGCAATAATAATGTGTCGTGTGCTCACAGTTCACATCGGAAACACGAAATTTGCTTTGGTGACCGGCTGCTACCGCCTACCGGGCTTGTGTGAGTGGAACCAATCTTCGATGCCAATAATAATGCAGGAAGAAACGGCGCTTACTCCGCTTCCAGCCTTCCACTTCCCGCACCGCAGCAGATACCAAGAGTACCGCGGTTCCTTGTTGAACATACACTTCTTTGTTTGCTCTGCACTCACACTCTCGGCATATGAGGAGCAGGCCCACGGTCAACGAGGCCTTCTGGATCTCGATCTAAACTCTATTTGTTCCCATCCAAAAGCCGATCTCGCATTATCCAATTCTTCCCTCCTTGGGCCATGGAACTTCACCTCCATCTGTTCGACTACAGCAAGCAGAGCGGAGAAGTCGTAGCCTTATTAACCGTTCTTCCGACTTTTGCTGCAGTACTGCATATGCAAGCAAAGCCGGCATGCCCGGGCAACCAATCAAAAGCGCTCGAGCCTTCTCAACCGCCCTACCACCAGAAGTATAATAAACCCACCGCGTGTAACCGAACATCGCATCCCGAACAACGCCAACGCCCTCTTCTCCACTATGCTCATAGCAGGCAAGGCCGCGCCTGCTTTCCTCAACCATACGAGATAATAAGTCATCTCTTTGACTTTCTGTGAAGTTCGGAGACGACGCTTGAGGCTGAACTAAAGGAATCCCATCCTTGACTGCTGCTGTAGATATGCCGACAGCGCTACTGCCGTATAACACACCATCCTCGGGCATTCACTCTCCTCTTCTATGGAGCATGTGATTTAACTACAAGCTACAGAGTGGCAAGCAAGCCTGGACTTTTTCTTGCTGCTGTTGCTTGTCGTGTAAGATTTGCATTGCTTTTCACTTTGGAGTGGGGGGCCGTGCATGAGGTCATTGGCCGAAGTTTTGGTCACGCTTTCAAGTAGGGATGAAAAGCGAAGTGCGCAACAATTGTGTCAGCTGGAGGAGGTGTTGCGAAATCATCATGGGTCGTACTCGTACTGCTGGTGGGACGAAGCACAGCATGCCGAACCACAGCACCGAGTGTCTCTGCGTTTCACATGAAAGACCGTCACCGCTAATTTCCGCAGCTGCTGACATGTAAACGCAGACAAGACCAGCATCATCATCTTTTATCGCTTGCTTATCGTCCTATCTCTGACGGACTTCGCCCCGACCCTAGCGCTTTTATCACTACAGTAGCAATGCACTGTCGACCGTATTCGCTTCTGCATCAAATTGCAATGCTGCAGAACAGCCCTGCGGCTGCGTCTGCAGGTGTGCAGATTCCATTCCCGATTTGTGGTCGATGCGGTTATGTGTCAGCAGAGCTGGAGGCCGCAGTATCGTGTATATGAACAGAAACGTTCCAATGGCCTGGACGAGACAAGAGTCTGTACTCGTGTCGGTGGATTCGCGTAGAAGCTTCCTTGGCAGAAGCCGTTTGACATCCCATGGTTCCACCCAGCGTTCGCATGATGCAACAGAGTTTACCATACTCTCTCCAGGTCGTGTGCCTCGTTGCCGTTCTGCCGAAATAGGTGGCAGGAAATCGAAACAACCCTAATGCCGTGACTGATACAGCCCAAAGGACCAATACCGCAGAATTTCAAAACTATGCTGATCCACTTGATCCGCTGGGATCGTAGTTTGGTCGTGTGCAGCACTTCCGGATCGGGATCATTGCAAGTCTAGGTCGAATTCATGGCTCTTGTCATTGCGACGCGCTGAGAATATGGACTGAGACTTCGCTCTCGAGCCTGCCGTGGCGGACCTGCTGATACTGGAGGTCTTGTATTAGGAGCAGTCTGACCTCGGTACGGAGAGCGAGAACGTGACCGCCTTCCAGAGCCTTGATTAGTGTTTCTGCGAGGAGGGCTGCGACTCCGACTCTTCCATGAAGGCTGAACATCACGCGAGCGATGACTGCTAGGCGAGTAATGGCGTTGTGGTGAGTCGCCTCTCGCGCGACCTTCAGTGCGAGGTTTAGATGTGTCATCAGAAACTGACTGCCTACGATCAACTCGCCGCTCTCGCCCTTGTGATCTGTCGGAACGGTCAAAGTCTCTCCTTGAAGGCGGCGAACGGGATCCGGACGGAGAATGACCAGTAGAGATCGTAGAGACAGAGTCGGAAGAGTGAGTTGAAATAGACCTTCTACGCTTCCGTTCAGGAGAGTAGATAGTCTCGCGCCTTGGACGTTTGCGATCCTGAGATGGTTCTCGCCGTTCTTCAGGCTTGCTCACAGAATTTCTGGATCCTCGTCAGATACATATTCGACTTAAATTTAATACTTAGATCCTCACTTTGATTCCGATTTTGCGGCAAGTTTGGTTTCAGCTGGCGGCAGAGTCGCCGAAAGCTTGGGTGCCAACTTTGGGTTGCTCAGTTGCTGGCTTCTTGAAGGACGCGAGACGTATGGTCTTTCCTGCTGAGCAGCCGTGCATTCATACGTATAGTGACCCTGGAAAGGTTAGAAAATTGTCAACGAGAACTGCGAGGAGAATTTACCCGCTTCAGACATTTCTGGCAGAGTGTAGTCGCAGTTGCCTTGGACGGCCCGCCGGCTCGATATTTGTTCATCTCAACTATTATGTGGTGTAGCGAGTGAGTAGGAATGTCCAGTAGATCATGCACTCATGTTGTCGAAGTGTGCCTGCCCTTCGATCAATCTTTGGTGGAGCCTCCGGGCCGAACCCTGAGATGCCGCTGCCAAGCAAAGCAAGTGCGCTCCTGCAGACAAAGCCGCCAGCACACGTCGGCTTCACCACTGGCAACATCATCACCGTCACCCACCGACACGCGCGCAAGGCAGCACATATTGGACGACCGCAACGTTCTTAGCGCTTCCACACGGCGCTCTCCCTGCAGCGGCGTCTACGAACACCGCTCTCACCTCCACCAGCGCTCTCCGCTCCGCAACAACACCAAGCAAGCATTTCAGGCTCCATGTGCGCGCTGCACAATGTCCAATCTCCTGGCCCTGGACTTGACTATTTTCCTTGAGCCGCCAGTTTCCTGAGTCGTCTTCGGTAGATCTCATATTTGATCAACGCATTCAACCTACCGTGTGGCAGCACTGCGCTCGCCCGACCTCAGGAAGCAGCGGCTCTCGGACTGTCCTTGCTCTCTCGTCCGAGTTCCTACGCTTCAGTTCTGGATTTCGCTGTATTTGGCATCATGGCCCACAGTACTACCTCAGCTTCGGCCTCGGTCGACATCAAGAAGGAGCGGCTGTCTTTTGCAAAGGTGCGTTATGAATAGGCGCCATAATTCGCGCTATAACAAGGGCTGACTCGTGCACAGATCGCAGCTGCTGGTATCAAGCCTCCAAATGCTACACAGAGTCCGAACACAAATTCGCATAACAATCAGAAACAAGATATAACTTCTACGCCGCGAGCCGGCGATGCTATTGTCACTCCTTCAAATGGAACCGCTCAGCCTGCAGTTGCGGTGCCCAAGCCGAAAAAGTTGATTCAGCTTCAGTCAAAAGATACAAAAGATACCCGTAATCACAGTTTGAATGGCCCTGAAGTCCGTGTTCAGATCGTGGGTTCTGCTCCAAGTCGAGCAGAACCCCCTGCGCCAGACGGCTTCTTGGTTCCTACAACCTCTGATGATGCTGGCACCCAAGTTTCATCCTCCAGCGACTCCAACAAGCCGCCAAGTGTGGACGGCAAGAGCGTCGCTTCTGGCACTACCTATGCCCTGGATGAGAAGGAATCTCTTCGTCCAGACGACAGTGCCAGTGTCAAAGCAGCCGAGGAAGAGGACATGTATTCAGCATCCGGTTCAGGCATGCCATCTCGTGTAGGCTCAGATGACGGCGTCAGGGCATTCCGAGACCAGCTACGAGAAATATCTGCTATGGAACCGTCAAGGCGCGGTGGGCCTCCACCGACGTTTGCTGCTGCAACCAGAGGCGTACTCTACGTTCCCCCGCAAGGTCCAGGAATCGGTGCAGTGCCTAGTCCAGCACGAGGCGTTCCTACATCAAATCCGAGCGTTGATTTCCCGCCCGACCCTAAGTTGCTCGAGGCTTTGGAAAATCCGCGAGATCGCGTGTGGGTCCTGAAATTGGAGCAAGATGTCATTGACTTTGTGAAGGACAACAAGGAGTCGTCCCTCATCTTGCCGCAATGCCATTCCTTCTACCGGTTGTTGGCTCACAAGATGGCTGACTACTACATGCTTGCGCATCACATTGAGGATGCGACTTGCCCTAACTCCGCAGTGCGACTATACAAGACACCCTACTGTCGAATACCGCCCCCGCTCACAGGAGTTACTGCACCCTCAACTGCGGCAAGCACGCCACCACCCACTGCGCCCGCAATGAAAATCTTGCGACGTGGGGTTGACGGACCTGCGATTGCGAATGGCTCGAACATGCCGTCCAAGAGTGCATCTGAGGCGGGCGATAGTGGCGACGAGAAGAAGAAGGCGCCAGTGACGCGTGAAGAGCGAGAGGCGCGGTATGAAGCAGCTAGATTGCGCATCATGGGCTCCGCAAAACCAATAGACTCACCAGAAACGCCCAAGGAGAAGCAAGATTCAAGATCAAGCTCCGTTACTGGGAGGAAGAGCAAGAAAAAGGCTAGGGAAGACAACGATGATGGTTTTGAGGCTCGTTCGGCTTACAGCAACTACTACAATGCGTCCTTTGGCAGCGATGGCATTCCGACTCCGCCTTACGGCTATCCTTCTGCAGAATCTGCACCGAACCAGTACCCGATGCCGTATGGGCAGCCAACTCAAAGCGCGAGCTATCAGTCGACGCCGATGCAAGGTCCTGCTAACAGCGCTTGGGCTCAGCAGCCTTACAACCATGTCGATCCTACTCAAGCTTGGGCTCAGTCGCAGACCGGCGCTTACGACCTGTCTGCCGACTTTCAGCGTAACATGTCATTCCAAAGCACATTGTCACCTCAAACGACCAATTTGGGCTATGGCCAGCAGTACTACGCACCACAACAGGGCTGGCTGCCGCAGCAGCAGTTTCCGATGCCAACGCAACCACAACAGCCTGGATATGCATATGGACAAGTCGGCCCCGTCAATGTTCACACCTCCCCGACGCCGCAGACGCAAGACCCCGCGCAACCTTATGCTTTCGGACAGTTACCAAGTCAGACCATCGGGAGGCCTCCAAATAAGAACGAGCATCCGCTGCCTGGTAGTTATAAAGGCAAAAACTTCAATCCGCAAAGCCAAGCCTTTGTTCCCGGCCAGGGAGATGGAAGGTCGTTCAGTCCCTATGGCTCTCCAATCGCCCAAGTTGGCTTTAGCCAGCCGATACCCGCTCAGCCTCCGCAGCTATCACGACACAGCTCTGCGCAATCACAAGGCTCAAGCTTCCCAACGCCGCATCAGAGCCAAGCCCAGACGCTACAGCATAGGATGCCAGGCCAGCCTCTTACGCACCCACTACCTCATGGACCCGTCTACCCAAAGCAGCCGCCCCCGAATGTGCCGCTACCACCCAAGCCTGGGTCAATGCAGCCGCTGCCTAACATGCAGCAGCCTTCTACGTCGCCTGGCGCACATCCAGCTGCGCAGAACCAAAGCATCCTGGCGAAATGGGGCGCGCCGTCGTCCTTGCCAGCAAAACCTCCACCTGCAAATGAGCCATTTGACTCTGCGAAGATTACACAAATTCAGAGACAGCCGTTCAATGCTGCGGCTGCTGCGCGGCAGCAGGCAGGCTATCCGGTGAGGATGTAGTTTCTGGAGGTGGAAAGCGAGGGGCGCCTGACGGGAGGCAGCCTCTGAAGTGAATGAACAATGCATGATTACGACTCGGTGGTATGGAAAGTATTCAACCTCGTTGTGAAATAAGGTGTAATGCTGTAGCACAAACGTTCTTTCTTCCAGTCTCACTTCACTGTCGCAGAACCGTCCTTTCGCCTGTTGTGGAATGTCACTTCGAAATCCTAAGACACATGATGCCACCATACACATCTACTCAGAAGTTTCAACCATCTCAAGTTGAAGTTGAAGTGCCAGGAGACGAAAGGATCGTCTTGGCGAGGGAGCGTCGCGAGTGCCACATGGCAACATAGATCTGGAGCTAGCCGAATTTGGAACGAGAATCAACAAACACCCCGCGACGCATCGACATTCGCAACACACGGACGTACAGCGCGCAGACTACACAACAGCTACAACGTGCATCCTGGATACGAGCATCGCAAAAGACAGAAACTATTGCGGTGGCGAGCGCCATAGCATAAAATCGCATTTCGACCGCATCCCTCACTTCTCGAATCTGCCACGACCAGCGCCAGTGCGCAGCCCTCGATTTACAACAAGAAGATCGTGACTACATCTCGGATATATTGCACAATGGGTCGCATGACACGCGCAAAGGCTGCTGAAGTTGCTGAAAAGCTCCATGTCGACGAAGATGCAGTACTTGAGTTGCCTAGTGAGGATGTCGTAAAAGGCATTCAAGCGCCAGGAGACAACGAGCGCACGCCACTTGGAGAGGTCAGCGTCAACAGCGCCGGCAGCAAGGCCGAGATAGAGGATGCAGAGGTGAAGAGTGCACCGACATCAAAGAAAGGAGGGAAGAAGGGGCGCAAAGGCAAGAAAAAGAATAAATCTGCTCTAGACGCCAGCACTAGCTCTGCACCAGACGCAGACCGAGATGAGGACATCATACCAGATGAACATGAATCGCAACCTTCCCCGGCGAGTAGAGCTGCATCGCAAGAGCTAAGTAACGATATACCAAGATGTGAGCGAAATTGGTCCTCGTCGTTTGTAGTCCCCTTGGGATCACATGACGCTAATGCAGGAGTCCGAATAGTGGATGCATCGCAACAACAACTTCAAGACACGAGACCGAACACACCTCCATCAAACGCAGTGCGACTCGCCCGATCTCAATTGAGAAGCCAAGGCCCAGAATTAGGTCCACCTGAGCCGAAATCATTAATCGAGGAGAAGAAGATTGTCAGCAAGGGATCCTTAACCAGCGAAAAAGACGCGACGGAAAGGCAGGCAGGCATACAACCAGATCTACAGCCTCAGATTGATACTGTGGATATTCCCTCCTCAGCTGCCGGCTCGGCTCTAGACGACCCGTTCTCCATGCCAACCCACGTTCAACAGCTCAAAGGCAGCGTGCTTGTCAAATCGCCATCGCGATGGAAAGTCGGTGTTGACGATAGCGCTGAGTACGCAAAGGGGTTCGTTTCTCCAGTTCAGAGAATGAGCAGCAATGGTGTCGACACAGACGTTCTCTGCTCTTCGAATGCCTCTTCTCAGGAAGACTGGCCATTACGATCTGGAAGCATTGAAGCAGATTCGGCAATGGCGTCTACTGACAGGGTACTACCGATGTACGATCAATTGGAAAATGCTGTTGTGGGAGCTGCGACACCACCCAGATCTGAGCGAGTCAACATCCCTGTCATCCCTGAAACAGATCCGACCTACGACGAGCTTGAAGCCGCGGCGTTGAGCGCATCTATACCTCCTCAAAGCATCCCCAAGAGAACTTCGCCAGCACCAACGGACGCGATATCCGCCATGGACGCGTTGGAGGATGAAGTCGAGAAAATTAATGCAGAAGTGCCTGACGTGCAGACTTCACCCGAAAAGCCAAAGACCAGGAAAGTAACGCCAGTTGTGAGAACGACCAAGGCAAGCCAGGCGCGGATCTCACTTGCGCATGGTCCAAAAGATGCTCCCAAAGTGCCTGCTTTAGGTCGTCCGCGCCAGTCGAGCGCTAGGCAATCTAGTGCGCACGCTCAGCTATCCCAATCAACAGCGAAGCGCGTTACAAGTACCTCAAGCGTGAGATCCCGTCAAGGAACTCAGGATGAAGACGTCACTGTCGACAAGAAGGAAGTCAATATTCCTCATAGCAAACCTCGGCCCATGTCTTTGCAGTTTCCAACGCCGCCGCCACCACCGAAGTCAACCAAAGCTCCTACGAAGAGCACTTTTCAACTACCAGGAGAGGCCATAGCAGCTAAGCTGAAGGCAGCAAAGGAGGCACGACTACAGAAGGAAGCCGAAGAATCTACAGCGAAGAAGACTTTCAAAGCCCGTCCAGCGCCATCCTTCGCTAAAAAGCCGCCTCCAGCTGTTCGCCAGACCAGCACTAGTAAAGCTCGAGAATCAATCATGAATGGCAAGCCAGTGGCGACCATGAGTAGCAAGCGGCCCCACAGTGTTGCAACGACTCGACCAGCAGCGAACAAAGCGCCGGTCACTACTAAGAAGCCTAGTGTTTCTGCCAAAGTCGCACCAAAGTTGTCCAGCTCCACCAACTCTTTATCTTCTTCTAAAAAACGGCCAGTGCCTGGAGTGCCACCACAAGCCGCAAAGTCTCTGACTGTCGCAAAACGACCATCCACTGTGATGGGAGTCCTCGACAAGCCTCGCACATCATTGGCTCCAAAGCCAAACCCACCAGCTACAGCTCAAAAGACGAATGGCACCGCGAAGGGCAAGGAGGTCTTCAGTCGTGCGGCGCAAGCCAAGTCCAATGCTGAGAAGGAGAAGCGAGAGAAGGAAGAAGCAGCAAAGAAGGCACGCGCTGCGGCTGCCGAACGTGGTCGTCAGGCAAGCCGTGACTGGGCTGAGAAGCAACGTCTGAAGAAGCTTGGTCTGAAGCCTGAGACCAAGTCGGCCGCTGTTGAAGGTCAAGTTACTGCTGACCTGGAGCCAACGACCGAGATCCAAGTCACTGAGCATATCGCAGAGGCCCCAGCAGCGGTTGAAGCTTAGGAAGGGCGACTTTCGCTTATCGATCATGACGAACACTCGCTGGGAACAAATGAGAGGAATATGATGATGAGCGATGAACAGGAAGTTTGGCAAGAAGCGTTGGCGCTCCACTAGGTGTTCATTGTAAAATTGATCATGAGTTTGGGATTCTCTTGAATGGCTGATACACTTTGTATAATAGTAATCCGACGAAAAATGGAAAACGCACAGCCATCACTAAAGGCTGTATCAAACCTATTCCCCTCTCTTTTCAACCCGTCGAATTCTTGAACTTCACAACAATACACTGCTTCACTAATTCCTGATCCTTTGAGAAGCCTTTTCGTGAGAGACTCTGTTCGCTCCTGCGCCTGCATCGAGGTTTCAGATTGGCATACTCTGGATTTAGAAGCTGCTGTCAGAGTTTCCCTACTGCACATCATTTTGGTGACTTGAGCTTCATTATGTAAGTCGTTGACCCATCTCAGTCTCAGCTTCCGAATCCACCCTTCATCCTCATTTTCCAGCATCAGAATATGATAACCTTGTCGGCTTCATCGAAATATGCAGGTTCTGTTTCGGAGCACGCCTCGGGGGGTCTTTTGCTCATCTGGATGCCTCACAAACATGTTCGAGGTGTAGCGAATGATCGTGGAAAGATGCGAAACAAGTTGGGATGAGAGTTCTCAATGCTATCAGGAACCACAGTTTTTCACGAAGATTTACGGCTGCGTTAGACAGTCCGCTGGGGATGTGGTCGGTAAAGCTGGTTCATTGGTCGTTATCTGCTGGAAGAGCTGACTTGACAACTTGGACCATCCCATCTTGGAGCGTTCGCTCGACGATTGCGGACAAGTGAAGACGAAATACGCGGAGCTGAAGCGCTAATAGCTTCCACGTGCCTGTCACTGATGCGATTGTCGATGATATTGACCAATCGTGGCAGTTACCGCGCAGCCAAAGTCGTGGATCTCTGGTACGCAAACGGGCGTGGCGGAGTGTGTCTCATTGGACCCCATGTCTCATACGACCCGATATCACACCAATGGCTACCAAATACCTTGCCATTCAAACCACCAGTCTATTCTGTAGAGGTAAACTGGGCTTGTTCTCCTCTGTGCCGCGTTCTCTTCAGTCCGCATCCAACGTCCATCGTTACCTACTATTCATCCTGCTCACTAGAAGGAAGACATTAACCACCAGCACAATGGACATCGCACCACCACGAAGATACACATCACCAAGCCCATGGACACCTCCCAGCCAACAAAAAGTACGATCCTCGACATCAGGCAACATCCGAAACGACGATATCCCAAGCTCACCTACCCAACTCCTCGCCCCAACGCAACTCAAACGAATCTCAGAAGCCTCAGAACTCACAGACACAAGTCAAGAAGCCCTAAACAACCCACGTCCCCACTCCGCCTCAAGACTCAGCAAAAGATTCTCCTGGGTCCCAGGCTGGAGTTTCGCCGGCGAAAAACGGCAATCCAACCCCCCCACTCCATCATCCCCAGACGACAACGCCGACAACAACGATCCCGAAAGTCCCACCGACAGCGTAATAACCAGCAGCCGCCGAGAATCCGTCGCGCAGCGTCTCACCCGCCGCTTCTCCTCCATCGGCGAAAGCTGGCTCTTCCACCCGGAACCCTCGCACGAAACCAACTTCCCCCCCTCCGTCACCTTCCCCTCCTCCCCAGGAAAACCCCTCTGTCTCTCCGTCTTCGGCACCATAGATTCTCTCGACGGCACGGTGATCAAACTTCAAATTCCGATCGGCATCTGTCAGGCGGATCTCGCGGGGCAGAAGGAGTATCGGCCTGTGCTGGAGTATATGGGACCGAGGTTGAAGAATGGGGATTTGCTGGTGCGGCCGTTCATGGCGAGGTTCAGTCGGGATCCGAATGTGGCGATGGTGGTGAGGGGGGCGATGCAGGAGTATGTGTTCAAGTGTCATATTGTGGGGGTTTTTCCCATGAGGGTTTTTGGGGAGGTGCTGCCGGTTCCTTATGCGATGGATGTGCAGTTGTATTAATTGAGGATTGGAGGGAGGGAGGGAGGGGTGAGTGTGGTGATTTTTGTGAGTGAGTTTTGTTTGTTTGTTGAGGCTTGATATCCAGGCGGGGAGTGAGAGTATGAGAGGAGCCGCTTCGATAGTGCTCGGGTGTTAATTCTACTATGCAGATGTCAATTCGATAATGACTTGATGATCACAGGTTACCGTTTTTATTATACTCTCTTCCCACATGCTACAGTCTTGCCGACGGCAACATCGCTCTTGACTTGATCAAATAGTGCTGCTCAGCTTCAGCAAGCATGGCGCCAATATTGAAGTTGCAGTTGGTATCAACTCGCCATTCTACCTCATAAGCCAGCTTCTCGTAGTCATTGCCAACTTCAGGATTCTGCCACTCCATCATCTCTCCAACAAGGCGGGCATTAGCCGCCACCCATCTGGTCCGTGGCATTCGAGTTTCGTCGTAAGCTTGTGAAGCAGCACGCAAGAGGACTGATAGGTCATTGTTGTGAAACGCTGCGGCATGGTTCTTGATTACCTTTGTGAACGGAAAATGAGCCGAGAACACTCGGATGGAGACCGACCATTTTCTGCTATTCATCAATCATTAAAATTCGTAGCATCGACTTTGGATAATCATGAATCGTTCAATCGTCTATCGCTTCCTTCCAAAGGCTTGCGAAAATCTGCCTTTGATCTCCTCGCCAGCAACACCGATCTTTGGTTTCGCTCGTTCAACGAATTCTGGCTCAGCAACACCAATGCGACCTGCATCGCTTCCACTAATAATGTGTCCGAATTGAACCCGCCTGTCGCCGACTTCCTCGATCAGCTTGTCGACTGGTGCGTTCGCAGCAGTAGGATGATTGAGGTTGGGTGCTCGGAAGGCGGCCGCGATTTCGAACGGCCCGAGGGTTACCTTGCGGCCGAGTTGCCAGAAGCCCCAGTACGAAGGTAGAACACACAGGATGCAGATGATCGTCGAAGCGATTGCACCGGCCATATAGCAGTAGTTTGATTGATAGTGGATTGTGTCCATCCAGATTCGGGAGTCAAAGCCATCGTAGGTTGCATCGTATTTGTTGTTGGAGTCCATGATCGATACGTCAGTGGCAAGAGCGAACATGATAGAATTGATGCTTCCAAGAACGCCAGGATCGACGTAGGCGGAGTGGGCGTTGCCAGATGCTGGTCCACTCGCCCCACTCTCCCCAAGAAGCTCGGTGCCACCACTAAGAGGCCAGCCATACTGGAAGTCGCAAGCAGACTTGGTCACATCAGGGAGGTTGTTGAGGTAACCCTGAGCGCTTCCAGTGGCATTGAGCAAAAAGCCAATACCATTCGTGTCTCGCTTCACCCAGCTGTAACCTCCAAGGTATGCGTTAAGACCATAGGCCAAGCCGCCTAAAGTGTTGTTGCCGAACTTTGATGCACCGCCTGTGTAGATCAGAGTACCGTTTTCAATGTCCTTGACATCTTGATATCGCACAATGTCGTGGTAGCTCTGTTGGCTTCCAGTCTGATTGTAGTCGTAGAAGAGTGTTTGGTTCTGGTCGGTAGCGAGTGTGGCAGTCCAGGACGACACTTCCCCACGCTGGGTCAATTGGACAGGATAACTGACGACAGCCGGTCGTAGACGGCAAGTCTGTTTGTACAAAGTGCCAGGGCACGCGTACGAAGAATTGTCGAGCTCTCGTTCAAACGCTTTACTGGAGACAACATCCATCAAGATGTAGTCCGTATTGTTAATCCAGGCATCTGGCCCATCTGGAACGCTGCCTGCAACTCCTATGTGAACGGAGAAGTTCAATCCGTACAGCTGCTGATTGAACAGCGTGAAATTCGTGGCGTTTGGAGTATACGGTACTCCAGTATCAATGTCGTATTCTGGAAACAGCAGATTGGACACATCAATCGCGGTCGTGGAGTAGTCTTCTTCGGCGCAATAGACTCCGAAGCCTGCGCCAGAAAGGTTGAGGTACATAGTGGCCTTGTCAATCCAGGGTGCAGTCTTGACTTTCTTGGTGACCGGATTCTTAATCACCCCATTTTCGTGGTCGTACGTTGTGAATTGATTTGGGAAGACGCCTCCGCCCACCTGCCAGATCAGAAGATCCTGGTTGAACCAAGGCTGCAAGCCTGCTCCGGCCTCAGTTGTACTAAATCCAGCACCAGTGCTAGGAAAGGTCTCGTTGATGAAACCCCACGTAACGTTGTGACGCAGACCGATTAAATCAGTCTGAGTGTACGTGCCAATGGCTTTCTGGAGAAGTGTCGAATCGATCACGGTCATCTTCGTCACAAGTGCAGTAAGTGCAATGATGTTGAATGCTTTTCCCGCCAAGGCAATCTCCTTGACACTGCTGCTAAATTGCCAAGATTTGTTCAGGTCCTTGATCGTGCCGCCCTTGAGCGCTCTCCGCCACCACGCGATAGCAATGCCATTGCCTGGAAGACCGTCAGCAGGGAAACAATTCCGAATCTGTAAAGAGATGCTTACTGATTGCAATTCCGAAGCAGATATTTGCTACACTGTTGAAGATCGAGATGAGGACGTTTGGGGCAACAGCTTTTGGCCATGGTCGGTGATGTGCCGTTCTCGTCTGAGTCTTGTGGTTTGAGCACACAAGTACCACGACAGCTGCGATCAGGCATGCGAGGACACCGCCGAGAGCTCCAATGCCCAGCCATGGAAATTGTGCGAAGAAGCCGGGTTGCCAGTGAGCAAGTCCTTCTCCTTCAACTCCCTCTCCCTTCTCGAGCTCCTCTTCCATACCAGCAACAGGTGTAGCATAAGTCACTGGTGACTTCTCGTGAGGAGATGTAGTGATGGCATTGCTGTATGTGATCGGACGCTTCTCCTCGGTGGCCATGCTTGGCAGAGTTCCGCTGCGAGTCTTGAGTGAGGCGATGCATCTGACGGACGCGAGGCGACCACCATCCCATATGAAGGCCAGAGAACAAGTCGTCAAACGATGTGGCTTGGACCAGGCTTGCAGCAGAGACGATGTGAAGGCGTTCTGGGCTCGGCATGGCCGCTCAGAAAGTCATCCGAAGGCCATGGCTGGCTGTGAAGTAGCTGCTTCTGGAAAGCCACGCCCATTGTGGAAGCAGACAGACGACTCCCAAGGAGCTTGTTCGCTGGATATGCAGAGTCGCTTGCTGTCCAACATCTGTTCTCAGCTAGACTGGGCTGTTTGGGCTTGCGAAGCACGTGGTCAAGGCTGATCGTCTAGTCAAAGCCTGATTCAGCTCGATGCTGGTTTCGGCGTGCCCGCCAAGCCTGTCAACCATTATTTCTTCGGAACTCGTTCAGGCATCGAACTTCATGTCGATGTAGGCCACATGTCGGTGCCTTGTTTCAGCGTGGAAGGAGGTGAAGTCGTTGGGAAATTGGGGAAAAAAGAAGCTGGACTTGCCAAGACAAGCTCGGACCTATATAGGGAAAAAGACGCGGATTAGTAGACCTGGATATGTGTTTCCTGTTACTCTATATATTCTGTCGTTATGATATTTACAACATTAGGCCTGCGCCAATAGCAATGCCCATCAGCCAAGTAAATGCAATCGCAAAGTAGGACATGTCGAAACGAGGAATTACCACACCACTGGCGACGCCAGAGCTCGATGAGGAGTCTCCACGAGATGGGCTTCCAGACTCCTCAACCTGGGCATCCTCCGGAATAGCAGCTTCACCAGTAGCAGTTCCGATAGGCGTTGCAGCTGTGCTAGCCTTGGGACTGGCAGTAACTGAGACCTGAGGAGCGATCGTATAGCTGTTAGGAGCAGCAGAAGCCACGCCCGAGCCAAGAGCCTTTGCGACGCCGTTCTCGCCAGCTTCAACAACAACGATGTCTGGCTTAGCAGTGCTGTTTACGGCAGCCTGCGCAATGGAAGCCTGTCCGTTGTCGAGATCAAAGACGACATACATACTTCTCAGAATCGCATCGCCAATTGTCTCAAAGCCCATGCCATCATTGCCCTGAGTTGGCTGAAGCAAGAAAAGACAGGCCTCATGGCCGTGATTGTCGTAGATCACAGGCTCCCTAGTAGTACCATTGACCAGTGGGACGATGAATTGTCGTGCATCGATATTGATGGTAATCTTTCCTGCGAATTCGAGGGAGAGGGAATCGCCAGAGTTTGCATTCCTGCAATCAGTCAAACCATTGCGGTCGACGTACGTGAAGACCGGATCGATGTATTGGCTGTAATATTCCTCAGGAATGGTCCAAGCAGTGCTGCCGGTGTCCAGAAGTACAGCCAGAGCTGTATCACGGTTGCCATAGGCGCCGATACCATCAGTGCCATCACTCCAGAGACTAGTTGTTTGTCCGCCGACAGTCGCATTGGCGGCAGTAACGGTGGTGATGAATTGGTTCACGTATTCTACCAATTGTCCCTGGTAGTAGGCTGGCAGAAGGTCTACGGTAGCCATTTCACCCGTGAACTTCGACTTGTCGATACCGCCAAAGAGGATGGTACCTGAGTCGGCTTCTGCATCGTTGAGAAACACCGAGAATAAGCGCGAGGCGATAACGCCGGCGTTCTTGAGCACCTCCGGCATGTTCGGGTAGAAGTCTGACACGCTCTGCACGGCTTCATTCGAGCTGTATCCAACCCCCATCAAGCCGATGGAAAATCCAGTTGTAGAAGTCACTTCAGACGCAACACCAAATTGCACTGGGTTTATCACGACATCTCCGATCCCAACCATGTCGTTACCATATGGTCCAGTCGCAGAACTGCCATCACCAAAGGATGTATTGAAAGCAGGTGATGCAGCAATCTCTTTGTAGCTTTTCGACTTGGATGGATCAAAGGTGCCACCTTTGCAGGCAGTCGCACCGGTCGTCTGACAGGTTTGCGCGCTACTGGCATCAAAGTAGAGATCTGATGATCCAGTATCGAGAATGACCGTCTGCTCTTGAGGTGGTGTTCCCACGGTGATGTTTGCGTAGTATGCTCCGCCGTTCGACCAACTCAGGACGTCGAAGATGTTGGTGCTGACAGTCCCATCTTGTCTTTTCTCCACATGGCCTGCGACGCTACGCCTATAGAGGTTTGTTGCACCTCCATTGTGCCTGTCTCGCTTCTGGATGTTGAGCTGTGGGAGGTTGTGAGCGAGAGCAGACGCGGCGAGGGCCGGTGTGAAAGACAGGGAGCGCATCCCTAGCCTGTGGGGGTACTTTCTATCCCTGCTGACTTATCGATAAGCCAGCCGGCCAGGTATACAGTAAAAGCTTATTCTCGAGATGAGATGCTGCCGAGAACAGACAGTTGGAGATGCTTGAAGATTGTCTTTTAGTTGGGAGGCAGAGGTGAAGAAGAGAAGAGAGCGACGAGCCTACGAGACAACTGACACAAAGCTTGGTAAGTGGCAGGCGCAAGCGCGTCGATGACGGTAGAGTGCCAAACACGAAGGAACGCTTGATGAAGCTTATTGGGAAGTCCTTTCGCTAGCGACAATCGAGACTCTGACACTAAAGGCGGGTTTCGTATGGCTGAGATGACGCCAGCTCTGTGCGTGTACCTGCAGGAAGCGTCATGGCATAGTTCTATCAAAGCAACAGGAGGACTGTGTTTCTGTGATGGCTGTTGGCATACATAGTCCTAAGCGAGATTGCTATGTCATCTTCCATGAATTTGCTAGCCGCTGGTCATACTGTATGGCATATCTATGCTGTGCCGTGGCGTAAACGGTACCGTGCCGTCCTGAGCATTGATGAGAGCTGCCCGTTGTTGTGATAAGTGAACGCCTATAGACTACTGGCGTCTGGGCAGAGAATTGTCGCACATCCAAGGCAGCGTTGGCAGAATGCAGGGATCGGAGCTGTGGCCGTCTGCAGGAGACAAGCCTTGGTTAAGTTCTTGACGCAACAATGCTGGCAGCGAATGCTTGTTGCTAACAGGAGTGCTTTCTTTCTTTGTCTTGTTGCTGTGTTGCTGCACCACACGAGCGCTGCGATGACGTTGCGCTCGCTGTGTTCCACCAGAATATCCCAGCTGGCACTCAAGCAACGACAAGCACCAGCTCCACGCCGCTCCACCTATCGTACGGCGCCCACTGATAGCATGAAGGAAGGGGTAGTCGGGATTCCTGCTTCACCAACTTTGCACTAACCTTGACATCCCCATCGAGCGGCGCACTTCTCCGAACCAATATCAACACGCGATACGCCTATGGCATCATTTGCTTGCCGCACAGCCAACGCGAGACATCTTGGCGCCTTTCGTTCATCTGCAACGCGAGCGCCGTCCAGCGACCGCCGTAATGCTCCTTGAACCCGCCCGACCGCCGACAATCGCAGAGCGACTCGATGCGCCAGGTGTGCGCATCTCGAGCGACACCATGCCCGGAAATGCAGACGCTCGTGCGTGGAACAGTACTATGCTACCGCGCGCCGGGAAGCAATGGCGGAGGATTGTTGGCCTACTCCTGTTGGGTCTTACCATCTTCATGTGGACAGCTACGAACTTTCTGTCTTCAAGCATCTTCGCCGATGACACCTACTCGAAGCCCTATTTTGTGACCTACATCAACACATCCTTTTTCATCATACCCCTGATACCCATTTTGGTCAGCAAAGCCTACAGACATCCGGAAGATCTGCGAAAATGGAAGGATGAGCTACGGACAAGCGTCAAGACATGGCGGAAGTACACGCCGCTCAAGCAGGACGAGGCTGGAGGAACAAGCTATCATGACGGTCCTGAGATTTCGGGAACACCAACTCCTTCCACATCTCTCGCGGCCCATGGTCTGCTGGATGAACCAGAGATGGAGCACAGCCAAGTCCTCAGCGCGCAGGACCTGCTACGGACAACATCTCAAGAAGCACCTCTCACGCTACCCGACATCGCAAAACTGAGTCTCGAGTTCTGCATCCTCTGGTTCCTAGCCAATTATTTTGTTGCTGCTTGCTTGCAGTACACCACTGTCGCATCCTCAACAATCCTCACGAGCACAAGCAGCGTGTTCACTTTGATCTTTGGCGCAATATTCAAGGTCGAGAAGTTCACGATCCGGAAGCTACTTGGTGTTCTATCATCTCTTGCAGGCATTGCGATCATTTCCAGTTTAGATCTGTCAGGAAACTCCAGCGACGACAAGCACCGTGGCGATTTCCCGGAGAAATCGCTGCGTGAGATCGCGATTGGAGACTGTCTTGCATTCCTGAGCGCCGTCATGTACGGCCTTTACGCCGTGTTCATGAAGAAACGAATATCCGACGAAACGAGAGTCGACATGCCTGTCTTCTTTGGATTCGTGGGTTTGATCAACGTGCTCATCTTGTGGCCCGGCTTGTTTGTCTTCCACTGGCTTGGAATTGAGACACTGGAAGCACCACCGACGTGGCGAGTGACGTTGATCATATTGTGCAACTCACTTGGAAGCCTCATTGGAGACATTGCATGGGCGTATGCAGTTTTGTTGACGAGTCCTATTGTTGTAACGGTGGGATTGAGCATCACCATTCCATGCTCACTGATAGGGCAGATTGTCTTGAATAACCAGACGGCGGGCATCTGGTACTGGCTGGGGGCTTGTATCGTTGTCTTTTCATTTCTCTTCGTCAATCACGAGGAGAAAAAGGACGAGGATGAGGAGGATGGAAGGGAATCCATGCCTCTTAGCGTTGACGATGTGAGCAGCGCAGCAACGCATGTGCCCTGATCGCATCAATGTCGTTATGATAAACGAGTATTAGAAGGCGCAGGCTCTCTCCGTACTCTTTCCCGTTCTCTCATCGATCGGAGTTGTTGTGATAGTGTTCGCGAACTACTTTCATGGCACGCGGCCACGCGGCCACGCGGCCACGCGCGGCACACCAAATCACCGGCAGGCCTGGCTGTAGAATAATAATAAGGTTGATCCCACGAAGGCATCCATGCCCGACCTCACACCACCCGACATTCAGGCGCAGGCGCGCAGCGAACAAAACGTTGGGGTAATCGTGTGGAAGATGGGCCCTAGGTTTCGTGGTTCTAGCGGCACGAGCGCGATACCGTTGTTCAAGCCGCAACAGGGCCATGCTTCATGCGCTCAGGTCGCTTGGTAGACGGGCGCGGCGAGGCAAGGCATACGACGATCGCCACGATGCCATTTCGCGGCAGGCCTTCGCGAGGCTGCGAGACGTGTCGTCGACGCAAGATAAAGGTACGGACGGCTTCTGCTGTGCTTCCAGAAGGCGCATTGTGCAGCGCAGCACCAGGCCTCGAGCGGCAATAATGGTGGATGGCGGCGCGGGGATTCTGGGCGGTCTCGCTGACCACTGCTGATTCCTGAATAGTGTGATCTCCGCGACGGCGGTTGCGCCAAGTGCGAAAAGGCTGGGTGGCCGTGCGAGGGATACCGCGACATCACGGACCTCATGTTCCACGACGAAAGCGCCAAGACGAAGGCAAAGGTGACTGCTGGACAGGGGTCTCGACGTCGTCAGGCTCGTCTCGAGAAGTCGCCGTCGCCATCTCCGGCTTCAGCGTCGGCGGCTTCCAGCGCAAGCGCATCGCCGGCCGCAAGCCCCAAGACTGGGCCATCAACTGAGCTCGTTGCTCTGTCGCTGCCCGCCGAGCCCTCCTTGGCGCCTGCCATCGACGACATGGCCATCGGCTATTTCTTCGACCAATACGTCTTCCGATATCGAGACAGGCGAGATTCGTGGTACATCGAAGACGGCAACGGCTGTCTCCTCGCCGCAATCAAGGCTTTGGGCACCGCCGGCGTCATCAAGCGGACCGCACCACGCCCGTCGGCCGATCCTGAAGCTCGCAAGCACTACTTGACTGCCCTGCAATTGACCAACTCTGCTCTGCGCTCACCCGACGACGTGAAGAGAGACAGCACGCTGCTTGCGATCGTCATTCTCGGCATCTTCGAGGCCGTCAGCGGGTTCCAGCAAAATCTCGACACCTGGCGAGACCACGTCAATGGCGCTGCGTCCCTGCTGCAGCTCCGCGGCAGAGATCAGTTCAAGACCCAGACTGGCTGTCGCCTGTACCTCCAGACCGTCCTCAATCTGATCATCAGCTGCTTGAGCCGTCGAATACCCATCCCCGACCACGTGCGCGTCGTCCACAAGATTGCCGAGCAATACATTCCCGACCCCAAGGACAGCGTCTGGAGGTTCACAATTGCAAGCATGCGTCTTGCCGACCTGAACGCTCGCCTACTGCCGGGAAACTTTCCCATTTCGAGCACACAGGCTCCACACATCGTGGAGGATGCTCTCGCTCTCTACGCCGAGATCGAATCGGCACTTGCCGATGCTCCAGGAGATTGGAAACCGCGACTCGTCGGGGCCACAGGACCCGTCGTATATGCTGACTACTACTACGTCTTTGACAGTTACCTGGTAGCACAAATGTTCTGCGGCATGTGCAGCTATCGAATCATGCTCATAGACATTTTAAGAAAGGCAGTGGCAAATTGCAGGACAACCGGCTATAAATTGCCTCCACAGCAGCTGGAACAAGTTCAGTACTGCCTCGGGTCACTCAGACAACTTCAGATGGCCATCTTGGCTGTGGTACCGCAGCATCTCGAAGACAGATTTAAGATCGTGCATTCGAAACTTCCGGAGGGAACACAAGATCTAACATGCACTGGCTTTCGAATTCGTGATCACAATCCATTCCGAGGCATTTGCAGCGAGGGCCGCGAGCTTCCATTCGTTCGCATGGCAGGCGGCTTTCAGATTCAGTTCCCAATATTCACAGCTGGAGCTTCGGATGCTCCAGGCGGACCCATCCGGACCTGGGTGATCGGTATGCTGAAGCTTCTGGGCCAAAGCATTGGCATACAGCAAGCATTCGTGCTTGCATCGCAGCTTGAAGGTGTGCACGGACCCCTATGGGACGTCTTGCTCTGAGGCCTCTCACCAATGGAGGCTAAACCAGCCAAGATTCTGTGCTTCTTAAGGAGTGATCTCCTGGCTGATTTGTGTAGAAGGAAACGAGACCGGCTCCGGGATACCTGAAGATATGTGGCATTGTGTTTGTCCCGTGTGATGGCCGAGGTCCGAAATCAAAATGGCCACAGGGCAGCCAACAAGAGCGCCAAACGAGCGGCCGGAAGAGGGTTTATGAGGAGGTCGATCATCGGCGAGCGTCGTTTAACCCCCCGTTCCTCAGATGAAGTGCCTGATTTCGAGCCAAGCAAGCAGCCTTGACAATTACGGGGCTTACTGCAGTGGAAAGTCAGCCGGTGTGGTGACAAAAGTCACTACATGGTCTACTTCGGTGTTACGGTGTATGCGCGGCCTTACTCTTCATCATTGAGCATACTAGGAGGCAGAAGATCCATGAAGGTTGAGCGGCAGCATGTGTAGACCGCCAACATGAGACGGCTACACCTCACCGCTTGTAGGAGGCAAATCGCAAGCAATTTGACACCCAAATCTAATCTCGGCGACTTGCGATCTTCTGGTGTCTGCAGCACCAAGTACTGCACAATGGCCTTCTGCGACTCACACGAAGGCCATTTCGATTCCTCGGCCTCCCAGCTGGATCAGGCTCACGAGAAATTTGGCGCTGAACAAGGCGGAGCTCCAGATAGAAATAACAAGACAGCGAGAAGATGAAAGAAGTGCACTGCATACTTTGAGAGCGAAACTTGGAAAGTTTTGGGAGCAAGAGCTGTTCTTCCGTCAATGGGAGGGGCATCGACGACGCAGATTAAGACAAGGGTTATGTACGGCTCGATAGGTCAGGACCAAGGTCGCAGGAGCATTATGATATTACCAGATCAAAGGGGAGGATAGCATGACACCAAGCGGTAATCAGAGATTCCAGCAAGGCTGCATGCATCGCGAACTGATCACAGAAGGGAGGGTATTTTCAACATGGCATGCATGCAATACTTCACCATTTATGTACAAATCTCCGTTTAAAAAACCACATCCCACAATTCTATGCTAGTTGCTTTTTGGCCAGCACCTCTTCAGTCGTCCTCACAAGCTCATCAAACACTTCTCGTACATACTTCTCCTCAGCCAAAGGATTCGAACTCACAACTCGAATCGCATACACACCTCCCACAAGCGTCGAAGTCAAGAAAAACTCTTTCTTCCCATCAATGATCGTAAACACTTCCTTTGTCAAATCATTCCCAGCTTTTAAAATCTCATCATCATCATCCTCATCAGCCTCATCTCCAGCCCGAACAATTCTTTTCCGGGACCGATGAAGAGGAGGAGGAGGAGGAGGAGCATTCACGGTCAAAACCGTCAAAGCAAACCTCGGCGGCGCAACAATCCGAAAAATATCCCTTCGACTCCTCACCCACTCCGCAAAGATCTCCCCCATCTTCACATGGTGCCGAAGATGTTCCTGCAGCCCTTTGACCCCGTACGTCCGCACCACGAACCAAATTTTCAGCGCGCGAAACCTTCGACCCAGCGGGATCTGCCAATCTCGATAGTCCGTCACGAGTCCCTTTTCTGTGAATTCGTTCCGAAGGTAGGCCGGGGTGATGGATAAGGCTTCGGTCAGGTGACGGCGGGTTTGGATGTAGAGGATCGAGGCGTCGAAGTTGGTGAGGAGCCATTTGTGCATGTTGAAATTGAAGGAGTCGACGAAGGAGAGGTTGTGGCTGAGGGATTGGTTTTCGGGGAGGATCAATGCGGCGCCGGCGTAGGCGGCGTCGACGTGGATCCAGAGGTCTGGGTACAATGAGGCGACTTTTTGGATGGAGGGGAAGTCGTCGATTGCGCAGACGCCTGTCGAGCCGATGGAGAGGGTGAGGTAGTAGGGTTTTAGGCCTTGGGATTGTAGTTCTTGCAGCTTTTGGAGGAGTTGGGGGCCGCGGAGGGCGTAGGCGTCTTGGTGGGTTGTTGCGATGCTGCGGAAGCGGGTTCCGGCGATTGTGGCGGCTTTTTGAGAGCTGGAGTGTGTTTGATCTGAGGCTAGAGCTACGAGTTTCCCTCGGATTTCACAGCTTCGGTCTTCGATTTTTTCGGCATCTGTGATGCCTTCCCGTTCGATTTGTCGCCTTACGTATCTTTCTCGGGCGGCGATCATGACTGTGACGACAGCTTCGGAGGCGGATCCTTGGATCACTCCTCCTCCTGTACCTTTGGAATGAAAGGCTGGAGGGAGAGCGAGGACTTGAGCCATCCAGTCGAGAACAATGGTTTCTAGCTCCGTCACGGCAGGACTGCAGATCCAGTTGAATGCCGGTGCTGTGAGTGCCGCGCTCCACATTTCTCCCAGAATGCCCGGATACGTCGAAGATGCTGAGAAGAAGGCCATGAATTTGGGATGCTGCCAATGTGTGATGCCAGGCATAATCGTCCTTTCGATGTCTTTCTGGATTTCTGGCCATGGTTGGCCTTCCTGAGGCGGAGAGTCCGGGAGAAGCTTGGCCAGATATCCGGGCTTGATTGAAGGGAGAACTGGGCGGTCTGAGATGGTGCTGTAGTATTGCTCGATTTCCTTGATTACTTGTGTTGCGTTCTCGACGAATTGGGGTCCTGTCATACCCAAGGGGGGTACCGTTCTGTTGTCAAGCTTGGAGACGCCATGGAGCTTCTCGCCTGCCGAGGAAACGCCGTCTCCAGCCATTGCGATGGTGTAAGGTAGTTTTCTACAGCGGCAATGCTTGTAACTTGACTCCTTCGATAGTTGTAGCTGCCGGCTCCTCCAATGTTTTTGATCATCAAGCTACCGATCGCGGAATTGCTTCCTGGCCTGGCGGACCCACCGCCGCTTCAACGCTCGGGATGTGGCCGCATTGATAATGGCATTGTCGAGAACTACCATTTCAAAGCACATGGGCACAGACGAAAGCATTGCAAGGGTCAGGGCCTATACTTTGATTGTGATTGGGAGGTATTGTCGTATGCAGAATGTCGCGCCAACCCGTAGAACAGCCGGTGTACGCACTCCCAATTCAGTGCTCTGTGTAACCTACGCCTGCCACTGAATTTTGGTGTCAAACCTAGGCAAATAGGAGCATAAAAGCTAGCTTAGGTATCAAGAACGTTTTCTATCTCTTTCTATATATGTTGTCGCCATTTCAGTGGTATAGCTGGTCCTAGTAGTTGTTTGCTTAGCAACCGTAGTTACTATAGTACGGCTACTACTCTACTAGGTCTAGGAACTTCTCCGGCTCTTTAATACTACTAATCTCTCGAACAATAAGATCTCCTTATAGCTAAACCTGTCTAGGCGCACTATCGACAAGATCTATAATATATACGAGCTATTTAGTATACCGTATCTACGCGATTTAAGTCGACTCGGTCGGAAGCGTATATTGCGACTATTATATAAGCAGGTATATGTATTTAGTAGAAAATCGCGACCGTAGCTAATAATAGTAGTATTAGCGTATTCTCGACTTCCTCGATAGCTATCCTTACGCCTACTAAGACGAGATTATCTAGTATTTATATAATATATTCGATATAGTTATTAGTTAGTCGACGGTCTCTCGTACGCTAAAGCGTAACAAATGGACGAAGAAGGTGTATTAGCGTAGGGCTCTCGAGCGTAATAAGGAGTTACGTAAGGACTTCGAAGAGTAGTAATAAGGTAAGGACCCGGATAAGATATATTATATCGATAAGAGTAGTACGAATAAGCGCACTAGATAGCGGAAGACTAGATACTCGTAGGTTAATAAACTATGCGAGTATAACAGCTTAACTAAGCGCTTAAAGAGGTAGAGTGTCCTACTAGCAATAACCTCGCGTAGTTATCTCGAAGGCACCCTCTATATCTAAGGATCTATTACTGCCGCTATATTCGAATACTAGCTCGAGTTTACCGTTATTCCTTAGCTTAGCGGTCTAGGTTAGTAGATTATAATAGACAACGCGCCTATCTATCGTTCTTAACGCGTTAAAGACCTCTACGCCGTAGCAGGTATCAACCTTAAGTACTTGCCGCTATACTCGCTAGATTACAACTATTAGGACTAAAGAGGTTATACGTAATTAGTATGTAACCGGGCTCGAGTAAAGCTAGGGTCTCGATGCCTTAGGCAGGACTTAGCGCTTAGCGTTAGGCTAACTAGCCTACCTTCCTCCCTCTTCTCTTAGATCTCTATCGAATACTACACTAATTTACTACTACCCTATCTACCTACTAATATAACCCTTCTTATATAGTATTCGATCTACCCTTTAAGGGTAGCAGCTAGATAGTCCTTATTTTAAGCTTTTAGCGGTGTAGCTACGAGCAAGACTAATCTAACTATATTGCGCCCGAAGAACGGGACCTATACGTACTATCCTATCGAAACAACCGTACTAATTATCGAGCAAGGCCTTCTATACGGCCTATTACACTAAGTTAATCGTACTAGACTAATATCTACTAATTCCGCTACATCCGCATCTTAGGGGCTAATAATACATTATTAGTGTTACCCCCTATTATAATAGCCGGCTTATTACGAAGCAACAATAACCGTGCTGCTACTAGCAGCGCTAGCAATAACAACGCTAGTAGCACAGTCCCCGCTAAAGTGCCTACTAAAGTGCCTCCTACTAAAGAGCCTACCGGAGAGCCTATTAAAGAAGAACCTATAATTCTAGGTAACGACCTAGAATTGCCTATCGACGACATTCTTAACAACATTGTCAATCGACGATATAGCTAGCTAGCCTTTAGCCCCTAACTAGTAGGGAGACTCTAAGAAGCTACCTAAAACAGGCTTACTGCCCTATGTTAAGAACAACAGCTAAAGGACAACCTCCTCGAAATTCGCCGCCTTTAGGAGGCCCTAACAACTAACACTAAGCCGATAGTAGGGCCTTCCTTACTATTAGTCCTAGTCTAGAAGAAGGATGCTAAACTTAAGGACTATACCGTATTCGATAGCTCTAGTCGCAAGCAATATAATAATTATATACGTAATTGTAAGCTTAACTAGCGAAATGCACTAAGGGCTCTTCTAGACGACTATTCCTTAGTTGTTCACGCTATGCAGTATATTAATAGTAACCTAAAGCGCACCTAGGACGACTATTTCGATTCCCTTAATAATTAGACTGCTATTTAGTAGAAAACCTATAAGACTATTATACTAGACACTCTTAGAAACCCTATACTAAGGCAACAATACGCTTAGGACTAGTACCTTCGGGCTAAGCAAAAGACTAATTAGACAGCTCGCTTATTTAAGGCCTATTTAAAGACCCTCGAAGACGACCTCCCGACTAAAACTAATTCTATCTAGATCTCCGAAATACGCCCTAAATTGAGATAGGAATTGGTCCTTAAGTTAGACCGCCGCCGTGTGTTTAAATAGACTAATCTTATACGCATTTAATTCATAGTCGAAGTGGAAACAGCCGAACGGGCTGTTTAGCTCTAATAACGACTAGAATCGAGGATCCGACTAGCTAGTACTAACCGTAGCAACCGTAGCCGCGGAGGAAACTAAGGTTCCTACTATAACAATAATACTAACAATAGGAACAGTAACAATAACCGTAGAAGAGGCCGTAGCCGCCGGCTATATAGAGGAGGCCGCGATAGGGGCAGTAGAAGGGGCTCGTATCCCTATAATACTAACCGCTCGGCTAATAATAGCAACAACAGCTACGGCAGTCTACTAACCGGATTGAAGTGCTTCAACTATAACAGCACTAGCTATCTACTAGGCTAATGCGACAAACCTAAGGACTAGGCCCGAATTAACCGTACTTCCGCTAAGCATAGGAAACACCTTTTAGTAGCTAACGCTACCCCTATAGGCTAACCTTCGAAAAAAGAGTAAGCGCCGCACTAACTGTTAGCCTTATACGGCGTAAGACTATCGACATTATACTAGCTATAACACGCTCCTGCCTTATATAGAATACGAAGGGCACTACCTATTAAACTAAGGTTATACTAGATCTAGGAAATTTAGTTAGTGCCCTTATTAGCCATCGCCTAGCTAAGCAATTAGACCTTCGATAACTACCGAAGACTAACCTGCCAACCCTTGCTTAGTTTAATAACGCTCGGCACTTAACCTATAGGGCCTACTATATTCCTATAGCTCTAAAGGACGACCTCGGAAATGAACGCCTACTAGACTTCACTGCCTACGTAGTAGATATAGACAACCTATATAGGGGAGCTACTATTGTTATTAGCAACCCTATTCTTAAGTACTACGCTGTAGCTATAGACTTAGGCATTCAGAAGTAGCGATTTAGAATCGCTCGGAAAGAGGATATTAAACACATTAATATTAGCGAGTGCCCTAACGATATTAGGGTCCTGTTTATTAGCAACCTAATACCGGCCTCCGCCTTAGCTAATCCGATAGCTAATCTTCTCGGTAGAGATAACGATAAGCCTATGCCCCCTAATAGTATAGACCCTAATTAGCTTGCTCGTATACCGGAGCCTATTCGAGAAACCTATATTAATGTATTTAAACACTACTTAGCATCGACATTGCCTATATTTAAAGAGACGGATTATAAGATTGATATTATAGAGGGTAAGGAGGTTCCTTTTAGACCCCTCTACAACCTTAGTAAACGAGAGCTTGCTATATTACGTAAGTACCTAGAGGAAAACCTAGCTAATAGTCGCATTCGGTACAGTAACAGCCCTGCTAGCGCCCCTATCCTGTTCGTACTAAAGAAGGATAGTAGCCTACGCCTGTGTATTAATTATCGTAGGCTTAACGCTATTACTATTAAAGACCGCTATCTACTTCCTCTTATTAAGGAGACCCTCGATCGCCTTTCTAGTACTTACTACTATACTATATTAGATATTAAGGATACATACTATCGCATCCGCATTCGTAAGGGTAACGAATAGAAAACAGCCTTCCGTACTCGCTATAGCTATTTCGAGTACTTAGTTATACTATTCGGCTTAGCTAACGCCTCTGTAACATTCTAGTCCTACATTAATCGGGCCCTTTCGGGCCTACTAGACTATCTCTATATAGTTTACCTAGATAATATCCTAGTTTATATACACTTACCTAACATTGCGGAGCACTAGGCTATAGTCCGTAAGGTACTCGATCGCCTGCGAGCCTATAGACTATATTATAAGCCTTCTAAATGTACCTTTGCTACTAAGGAGGTAGCCTTCCTTAGTTTTATCGTATTAACTAATAGTATTAAGGCTAATCCTAATCGGATTAAAACAATCACTAAATAGCCTATTCCTACGTCTATTAAGGAGCTTTAATCGTTCCTCGGCTTCGCTAATTTCTACCGCCGGTTTATTAAGGGCTATTTATAGCATATAATGCCCCTAACTGAGCTCACTAAAACTAAGGCTAACCTAACTAGAGAGTTTAAATAGACTAATAGAGCACAAGCCGCTTTTAACGGCCTAAAGCAACGCTTTACTAATGTCCCCTTGTTGTACTATTTCGTACTAAGCAAGCAGATCCGAATTGAGACTAACGCTTTACAGTTCGCTATATCGGCTATTATGTTATAGCAATTAGATAATAACTATTACTAGCACCCGATTGCCTTCTTTTTACGAAAGATAATCGATACAGAGCGTCGATATAAGACCTACGAGTAAGAGCTCCTAGCTATTGTCGAGGCCTTTAAGTACTAGCGCTACTATCTCGATAGTGTATAGCACACTATTTAGGTCTATACGGACTATAATAACCTCCGTAGAATTACGAAAGTTACTAGGGTTATAGGTCGATAGGCTAGATAGGCCGTCTACCTCGCCAGGTTCGATTTTAATATATTATATCGGCTAGGCGTAAGCAACCCTGCTAATAGCCTATCGAGGCGACCTAATTACGACAGCGGGACTTAGCAATCTATTAATTCATTGTTTCTAACCCTGTAGTATAAGATTGCTATAGCCTATATTATTAATAAGCAAACGTAGGATAAGCGGACTTCCGGACCCCGCGGCGGCAATAAATACTATAGCGGAGTTGTCGTTCTTCTAGTGTACGTTAAAAGAAAGGACGTAGATCGCTCGAGCTATAATAACTCGATTAAGGACATTGCTATCTATAGTAATAGTCTATATAGCGACAGCACTATAGAAGAGGTTATAGTAGTTCCGGCTACTAGTGCTATTAGATGCATACAATACGTACCTCGTTTAATAGCGAGGGTGCTATTAAATAACCTTGTAAATAGGGATAGTCAATCGTTTATAGATAAGCTGTTACGTACTTAGCAGAGGGACGCCTTTGCTATCGAGCGTATTAATAGGCTTGTAAGTAGACGGGCGACTCGATCTAGTAAGAGTAACAGTTAGTCGATCGACGACAAGGGTTACTTAAAGTTTAAGGGCAGGTACTATGTCCCCGCTAAACAATCGATTAGATAAGAGCTTTTAAAGAGGCACTATAACGGTAAGCTCGCTAGTTACTATAGCATAGAGAGGTCGCACGAGTTACTATCGCGTATATACTACTAGCTAAATAGTAAGCGGTATATAAAGGAGTATATACAGACCTATATAGTATACTAGCGAGTTAAAGCACTAAAGCACTTACTATTTAGCGAGTTGTCTTTACTCCCTGTTCTAAAGAAGCCTTTTGTAGAGCTTACAATAGACTTTATTATAGGTCTCCCCCCTACTAAGCGAAGAGGAAGCAAAGATATCTTTAACGCTATCCTAGTCGTCGTAGACCGATTTACTAAGGGCGCTCGTTACATCCTTGCTAGGAAGGATTAGACAGCTATTAACTTAGCTAAGTTACTGTAGAATAACATCTTCTGCAGCTATTAGGGAACCCCTAAAGGGATAGTCTCCGATAGAGGCTCGATATTTATATCTCACTATTAGAGTAAGATATGCCTATAGCTAAGACTTAAGCATCGCCTGTCTATAGCGTTCTATCTACAAACAGATAGCTAGACCGAGAGGCAAAATGCTACGCTGTAGCAGTACCTGCGTAGCTATATTAACGAGAACCCTAACGACTAGGTTAACCTCCTATAACTAGCCGAATTCGTGTACAACAATAGTGTCTACTTATCTACTAAGGTTTTACCTTATTTCGCTATAATAGGCTAGAACGCTGCTATACTGTAGGACCCCCTGTCGCTCGAGGCCGAGCGTAAGGAAAGGGAAGCGGGTTAACCTAAGATACTAGCGGCTATTAAGAGGGTTTAAAAGATACGAGAAATTTACGCTAAGATAGCTAACAAACTAGCAAAGGCCTAGGCCTATTAGAAGGCCTACTATAACAAACACTACCTTCTAATAACCTTCAAGCAAGGCGACCTAGTTATGCTTAGCATAAAGAACCTCCGTATCCGTAAACACCCCTCGCCTAATAGCAAAACAAGGCCCAAACTCGTACTAAGGTACATTGGCCCTTTCTGTATCCGAGAACCTAGGGGCACCTAGGCCTATCAGTTATAGCTTCCACCTTATTATACTATCTATAATACCTTCTATGTGTCCCTCCTTAAGCCGTACTACCTACGCGAAGGGGATAAAGCACCTACTGAATCCGAGGACATACTAGCTAATAGCGAAGAGCTATAGTCTATAGAACGTATCCTAAAGCATCGGACTAGGCAGGGCAAGAAGGAGTACCTATTAAGATAGCAAGGCTATTTACCTAAATAGGACTTATAGGAAGCTAAAGGTTCCTTTAAGGACATAACCGAGTTATTAGATAAGTATTAGACTAGCGTAAAGGATAAGAAGAAGGCTAAAAGCTTATAATGTTACTATTAAGGCCTAGGATTAATGCTACCCCCGGGGTGCTATTAGCTAACTAATTAGCTGCAAGCAATTGTTAGCAACAAGAGACAATAAGACTACACTACTATAGTGAACGCGTACCGAGTGTTAATAAGCGCGCTACGACGCGTCAATTAGTTACTACTCTTTTAAAGACTCTATCTCTTATTCCTTTATCCTACCGAGGCCTCGAGGCCTAGGCAATCGACGAGAATACGCGCGCGCGCGTACGAATAGCGGTGTGTTAGAAGATAGCTAGCGCGGCTATATTAGTAACGGTATTACGGAGTGTATTATTAGTTAAAGAAGGAAATCGAAAGCAAGGTAAAGTTAGCGCTAAGACGACTAGCGCTACTATTATTAATATTACTTGCTATTATCGCTACGCCTACAGACACAACCTTACCTATACTACGAGCCTAAGGCACCCTTAATCAAAACTTTAATTAAAGCCTTAAGCCTATTAAAGGTTTAATCAAAACTTTAAGGCTAAGTTAAAACTTTAACTAAGACAAAAGATTAAGCGACTAATAGACTAACTAAGGGCAAAACTATAGAGCTAAGCTAGCCGGGGTCGATCTTACGGATAATAGGTTACTCCTCGATCTATCTAATCCTTTAAGCGAGGCGAACCTCTACTACTGCACTTATAATAGCCTTTACCTATAGAAACTAGAAGAACTGAGTTTTTTAAAAAGATGTAATTAGTTAACACTTAAAGGCTGCTAAACCTAACCAATTAGGGCTAGCGAAACTACGAACAGTAATAGCCCTCGTAATAATAAGAACAACCCTCGGAACGGACAAACCCTCGGAGCGGACATTTCTAGGTCTTTTAAGAGTAGACGCAGAGAACTCGGTACGACATTACTTAGAACGGGGGCAGTGCTACAATACCCCGTATACCTACCTGTTATAGTAGGGAAGGTGCGCTCGTATTATAATTAGTCGATAGTCCTTAATTCTTATAGTTATATATCACTTTATTGTATATAAGGATAGCGTAGTTAGAGTTAGACATTGTATTAGAAGGTAAGGTTTAATATAGTTACATAATCGGTAGTTGTGCGTTTAATTTAGCGCGGACTAAGCGGCTTATTAGGCCTACTAAGTTAGTAGCAATAGAGGTTGAGACTAGAACAAAGACCGGCTACGAGGGCGCGGCCTTTAGAAGGGAAGCGTATATTAGGACTAAAGAGGTTACACGTGATTGGCATATAACCGGGCTCGAGTGAAGCTAGGGTCTCGATGCCTTAGGCAGGACTTAGCGCTTAGCGTTAGGCTAACTAGCCTGCCTTCCTCCCTCTCCTCTTAGATCTCTATCGAATACTATACTAATTCACTACTACCCTATCTACCTACTAATATAACCCTTCTTATAACAACCTAATTAAGATCTCATTCGCAAGCCTAAAGAGCTAGATTAAACACCATTTCGAGGAATACGCTGTCTTCGAGAACTTCGGCTACTTCGTTAAGTATACTATTATAGAGGTTAGTAGTAACAGTATTACTAAGCACGTAGTAGGGTAGTTCTAGAGGTGCGGTTATCGTAGTTAATTAGTTAAAGACGATAACCGCTATTGTATATAACTAACTATAGTTACTTATTTAGTTATAGACTCGCTTATTCCTACGATAGTCTCTAGCTTAGCAATACGAGCCTTTAAGTCTTCTATCTCTCGTCTTATCTCTTCTATAATAGTACGCGCAACCTTAGTAGCTTGCTCCTTTATAATCGCTTCTATATGCTATAGATCTAGTAATACTAGCTATAGTAACGAGCTTCTCGTTAGTAGTAACGAGGGCATAACGGTAGACGAGTCGATAATATCCTTATTACCCTAACTATCGGCAATCTAGTCGAGAAGTTAGCTAAATCTATTAGTATACCTAATTGCTATATCTCTAATATACCCCTAGTATTTATTACGATAAAAGAGCCTAGAATTTGATAGGTTTAGTACTATTTCTTATCGCTAGTATTACTTCGAGGCTATTTAAGCTAGCGCTGTTAGTATATCGCTTTGTTCGCGGCCTCGAGTCGCGTTTGTCCGGAGAGAAGCCGCTTAGTAAGCGCAAATCTACAACGACTAATAGGGCATTACTATAACACTACTATAACACATCTATATTATCTCTTCGGTAGGAAGTACTACTATCGATGCCGCTAAGCAACCTCCCGTTGTCCGTTTAAAAAAATATATACTTATAGTAAAGAAATAGCGCTTCTAAGATCTCGGAAGTTCGCGACTTTCCGATAACTTCTCTACCGGCAATTTCCGTTAAGACCGCCGAAAGCTCGGCTTCCGCGGAAAGCCGGGGTTAGTACGCGAAGCCGCGATTAACTAGCGATAACGGTCGCATATAATAATACTACTACGTAAGGTAATTAATATATTTCTAACTATAATCCGACGCTCTTAATAGCGACGAAGAACCTCCCGTTTACGCCGTACAAAAATACCTAATACTCGCTAAGATATACGACGTTAAAGAAAGTACTAAATCTCGCCTTTACGAAGCCGACCCTCGACCTATAGCAGTCTACGCGCTACCGTTCTAAAACAACTCTTCCTATAGCGATCGCTCGTTCTTATCGTACTTACGCAACACATATATTAGCCGACCGTGTTAGCTATCCTTTAAACCCTATTCTATCTACCTAGAGTGCGGCATAGTTACTAATTAGTCTAGGCTATAGTCTCTTATGCTTAGAGCGTCGTAGATTACACGAATATTAGTTTTGCGGCTTCGCTAGCCGTTACAGTCTTGTCGCTTTAACTAGTTAAAGAATACTAGCAATTAGACGTCCGGCGGCGTTACTATATGTCTAGGTTTACCTATAATCGGACTAGAAGGAGCTATAGTGCTTAACCTAACTAGACTAGACTCGGAAGTGCGTCGTTTCTTTATAGGGCCGCCCTTACTATAACCGCCGAGATAGTTGTATATTACAACTCCTATAGCGCTACCTATAGCGCGGGCCTTAGTTGTAAATAGATTGCTATTGCTATCCTTACGGGCCTTCTATCTTATCAACCTACTAACTATCTCTTCACCTAAACGGCTTATAGTAACTGCTAGCACGTCCGCTTAGAATTAGCCTATTCGAATAAGCTTAGCCTATCTAATTATAGTATTAGGGCCTATTTTAACGTAGTTCTCGTACCGCTTCTTACTATTAATCTAACAGTAGCCGCTATAATTCTTACAAAGTTAGTCTATATAGGCCTATCGATTATATAAGGCACTACGATAGTCGCCGCTCGGTATAGGCGTGTCGTCGTTATCTATCTTATTATTTAGGTCTAGGTCGTTCTCGCTACTAGCAGCCGCCTAAGAGGCCCTCAATTTACGTAGAGCTTATTATATAGCTATATTCTAACGCGGAGTATTAGTTGTCGCTACCGCCGTTACTAGAGTCTTCGGTAGTAGTAGCTTCTTAGTTAATATAACCTTTAACTAAAGAAGAAGGCCCTTCTTGCCTGCCTAGTGCTATTCTTCTAGTTGTTTAAGAGCCCTTCGAATAGACCCCCTAGTTATAGTAGTCTCGAGGTAAGTCGGACAACGACTAGCCTTCGTAATAGTCTTAAAGCGTATATTCTTCTCGAAAGTCTTACTCGTTATATTAAGCGTTGTCTACTAACTACGCTTCTACTCGGACTAAAGGTCTCTATACTTAGCACTATCGTTATCCGAAGAGATCTTCTACGGCTTGCTAGCGAGCGTATCGCGGCTATACGAGATAGTCTATAGAAGCGATAGCGTCTAATCGACTACCTCTTACTATTATTCTATATCCTTATCTTCTTTAGCGCCTTCTATATAGTCTTCTTTATTAGCGGCAATAGTGCCTTCCTCGTTAGTCGCTATAGAGCCTTCCTCGTTTACCGCTATAGAGCCTTCCTTATTTACCGCTATAGAGCCTTCCTTATTTACCGCTATAGAGCCTTCCTTACTATCGCTTCTAGTAGCGGCATCGAGCAGAATATCGTCTTCTATAGATGCTACTAGCTCCTTACGGCGGCGAGGGCGACGTACTTCCTTTATCTAACTTAGCTTAACGATATTATATATAGGTAGCTATCGGTCGCGGTCCGGAGGCTTTATTAAAGGTAGCGTAGATTAAACGACAGGCTCGAGATTAGCCTCCTTCTTAAACCTAATCGACACTATAAACAACACTAGGCTAGAAGGAGCAGTCTGCTTACCGCTGACCCACTATTTACTAACAAATTTGTAGTAGAGCCTGGGTGTGGTGTACAGCGGCTGTTCTACGGGTTGGCGCGACATTCTGCATACCACAGTATACGGAAAGCGTGTGCATTCATCGCTTATCGACTATGACATCGCCTGTTTCAGCTGGCAAGATTAGTATTAACGATACTGACATTTCCAGGCTCCTCAATCACAGCCCCATCTTATCCAAATATTTTCAGCTTCTTGCGTCCGCCCATGACATGGTGGCATAGATTCCATCTCGTAAGCTTGCGCTCGTACACTTGCTTGAGCTCCTCGTCCTCAGCAGCATCGCCGGTCAGAGTCACGTCTCGCTTCTCTCAGTGCCTTCTGAGCTACTCGCACCTGCTTTCGCGCCAGCTCTTGCTGTCTTGAGGTCTTCTACGGCTTTCGCTGCAGGTTTTTGAAAGACTTGCTGTTCTGGCCATGTCTGCTATCTGCGCGTTTCGGACACTTGTCGGCATGACACCTTTTGAGATTGTGCGTGATGTTCCGTAGATGGTGCTCGATTTTCCTCCCTTGTTGATGTATTCATTCAGCCTCGCTTGGTATGCACGCAGGAGCTTAAACGAGTTGGGCTCTTCGACTGTGGAGGCTTTGTCGATAGCTTCCGTGTTGGGACTGTTAGGTTCCAGAGATTTGAGTGAGATGAAAGGTCTCTGGTGCGGCATTCTTCTCGTCTTGCGTGTCGTGAGCAGGGTTTAGATTGTCGTTGGTTCTGGGAATGTCCTTGGGGTAGGGTTTACTTACAAGAGCTCAACTCCGCTATCACATTTGGCTAGCAGCCTCGCAAAGAGAAATGAAGGCCTTTATACCGCCCTCTCTAGCGGAAGCGATATAGGATCTCGGTGGCTTCAAGAGAGGTTGGTATATGTTCCCAAGGGCTCAACTCAGCTATCAATCCGGGCTAGCAGCCTCGCAAAGAGAAATGAAGGCCTCATACCGCCCTCTCTAGCGGAAGCGATATAGGACCTCGGTGGCTTCAAGAGAGGTCAGTATGTATTCATAAGGGCTCAACTCAGCTATCAACCCGAGCTAGCAACCTCGCAAAGAGACATAAAGGTCGTCGTACTACCCTTTGTAGCGGAAGCGATATAGGATTTCGGTGGCTTTAAGGGAGGTTAGGGGTATGTGCACAAGGGCTCAACTCAGCTATCACTCCCAGGCTAGCAACCTCGCAGAGAGAAACGAAGGTCTTCGTACTACCCTTTGTAGCGGAAGCGATATATGATTTCGGTGGCTTTGAGGGAGGTTGGGGGCATGTGCACAAGGGCTCAACTCAGCTGTCACTCCCAGGCTAGCAACCTCGCAGAGAGAAACGAAGGTCTTCGTACTACCATTTGCAGCGGAAGCGATACACGATTTCGGTGGCTTCAAGAGAGGCTAGGGGTATGTTCACCAGGGCTCGACTCAGTAGCTACTCCGAGCTAGCAACCTCGCAAAGAGACATAAACGCCTTCATACCACCCCTTCTTGCGGAAGCGATACAGGATTTCGCCGTTTCGGTGGCTTCAAGAGAGGTTAGGGGTATGTCCACAAGGGCTCGACTCAATAGTCACTCCGAGCTAGCAACCTCGTAAAGAGAAAAAAAATGCCTTTGTACCACCCCTTCTTGCGGAAGCGATACAGGATTTCGCCGTTTCGGTGGCTTCAAGAGAGGTTAGGGGTATGTCTACAAGGGCTCGACTCAATAGTCACTCCGAGCTAGCAACCTGGTAAAGAGAAATAAATGCCTTTGTACCACCCCTTCTTGCGGAAGCGATACAGGATTTCGGCGGCTTCAAGAGAGGTTAGATTGTATTCGATGAAGCGAGGTGCACTGCAGAGGGATGCCAAGCCGTTCGGCCGACGTCGGAAATTTGGAGAAGCGACACCAAAACATGACTTGACTTCTTCCATTACATATAAGTATCACACCGAGACACTGGTCGTCATTGCCAAGAAGCTTCTGGCCAAACAAATGGCCGTCCACTTCGAGGAAAAATCGGACCTGGTCATCATTCCAAGAAGCTTCTGGCCAATTTAATGGCCGTCCACTTCGAGGACAATCTGACCAGGTCGTCATTTCCAAGAAGTTTCTGAGCCAAATGAATGGCCTTCCACTTCGAGGACAACTCTGACCTCGTCTGGTCGTCTGCACTGAACGATTCTCTTCCCTTCTTTTCCCCTCAGTCCACGGCGACTGCAGCATCCCGACACCCGGCCTTTCCGGAGTTCTACAAAATCTCCTCTAAACCGCGCAATGCCCACTCGGCCTGGTCCTGGTATATTGTACACGACTCCTGTTTCTCGACATCCAGGAATGTCGGTGGCCAGCATTGCAGCTCATTCGACGCCTTCTCGCCATTTGCCCAAAATCGAGCTGCAGTCTGGAAACGCTTGTATGTCGACAGCGTATTTACGACTTCCTCCCACTTCTTAGAGGGGCATGACAGGTTTTGCTTGCAAGATAGCGGGGCATTGAGCTTGCCGTTGCTAAAGCATCGGTTGCAGTAAGCGGTGTACTCTTCTTCAGTCAGGAAGGATTTTGCCGCGTCCGCCTGCACATCTGGAATTTGCGCGTAAAGACACGCGAGTGCAAATTTCTTCTTGGCGTTTTCATCGTCGAGCGTCTCTGGCAATGGCAACAAAAGCAGGCTCTCCATATTTCGATCGAAAATTTTCTCGGTGACTCTCGCCTGGCAAGGCTGTTGCGCAGCTTCGCGCTGGATGGAGAGTACGAACTCGGTTTTCTCGGCATTGCACAACATCCTGTTGTACGGGACGCGTTGGTACTCGCCTTCGCGGAAGAATCGGACTGCATCATGCATGATTTGATTGATGTTCTCTTCAAGCTTTGCCTTCTCTGCGGCTTGATGGTCTTGTACAATTTGCTGCATAGCTTCGGCCGACTTGATGTCTTTGGAGGTCTGCTCTCCCTTCGGCTTCTCCGAAGCTGTAACGAATCGCTTTAGGGGAGTAGCACGTTTCTTCTTGAATTTCTCTTCGCCCTTCTTGCTGATCTGCTTATACTGAACAGTTTCCAGAGACAATGACTTGACTGTTCGCACAGGCTTCTCAGGAGTACGCCTCGCTTGGCTGTCACGATCAGCTTGTGGCGAAGACAGCTCGAGCGCATTCTCCTTGTCATCAGTATCCATGTCAAAAAAGCCGCTGTCGTCGATCGCTGAACCTTTCTCGTTCTGGTCTTCACCACTTGCATCTTCCATGTCAACATCAGGCTTGTCGATGTTTTCTGCTTGAGAGAAACGAGCTTCCGAAAATTCGACTTCATTCTTCAAGCCTTCAGTCGTCGATTGCATGCCCTGCTGGATTTCGAGAGTGCTCGTACGGCCCTGTTCGATATTTGACTTCGTGTCGCTGAAATTCTGGTACTCCGAACGCAGAGATGCGATCAACGACTCCTGCTCTGCGATTTTCTCACGTGCGACTTGCAACTGCTGGACAGTGCTCGCATGGTCATTCTGAATCCGCCGGCCGTTCTCAACAAGGGTCTGGATGTACGCGTCCCTCTCGTCCAGTTCCCGTCGCGCGAGGTGGTTGATTTGCGACAGCTCGTCTCTCAACTGCGCAATCTCCTCGTCCTTGCTCGACGACATCTTCTCGGTCTGCTGCATCGCCACTACTTCGTCCTTCTGCGACGCTGTGGCCGCTCGAGGTGGCAGGGTCGCAGGTGGAATGTTGGTCGCTGACTCTCCGTGTAGAGTGGCGTGCCGGAAACCCTCGACTTTGCGTACAAATATCTTGTTGTGCCGCTACTTCGTCTTTCTGCGACGCTGTGCGGTATGCTCGAGGTGGCAGGGTCGCAGGTGGAATGTTGGTCGCTGACTCTCCGTGTTGAGTGGCGTGCCGGAAACCCTCGACTTTGCGTACAAATATCTTGTTGTGCCGCTACTTCGTCCTTCTGCGACGCTGTGCGGTATGCTCGAGGGTTGAATATTGGTCGCTGACTCTTCGTGTTGAGTGGCGTGCCGAAAGCCCTCGACTTTGCGTACAAATATTTTGTTGCGCCGCTACTTCGTCCTTCTGCGACGCTGTGCGGTATGCTCGAGGGTGGAATGTTGGTCGCTGACTCTTCGTGTTGAGTGGCGTGCCGGAAGCCCTCGACTTTGCGTACAGATGTTTTATTGCCAACTGTGAGCTTTGCATGCGATTTCGACAGTGGGAAATGTGGTGCACAGTATGCTCTAAGGTGCGATGAGCGATGAGCGATTTGCGATGTGTTTGTGTCTGGCGATGTTTCAGCAACAATCGTATGCAAAAGTGAGCTTGTGGCGCGAAACGCGATAGTAACGCGTGCCCCGCCACATTTAGTGGGGCACTTCAAGTGAAGTCAACCGTCTTGCATGTGAGCTCGGCCCCCAAATAATCGGCATCGGCGGATATTTTCCCCGAAATCGTTCTCATCCATCACCACCCATCCCATCTCCTCGAACAAGCACATTGGCATTGCTGTTGCGCAGCTACAATCATCATGGACATTCGATTACTACAGGCTTCCGACATCCCTCATGTCCAGCAGACGAACATCACGAACCTTCCAGAAAATTACTTCTGCAAGTACTACATGTACCACGCACTAAGCTGGCCGCAATTGAGCTATGTAGCTGTCGATGTGAGTGGGATGGATTTAGAGGCTCTGGAAGAAACGGTAGAATTCGTACTGATAGACCCTTGTCATTGCCTAGGTATCGCGACCGAAGAAGTCCCCATACGAAGCGCCGAAAATCGTAGGATATGTACTGGCAAAAATGGAGGAAGATCCCGCGGATGGCATTCAGCATGGACACATCACTTCCCTCAGCGTCATGCGGACACACAGACGCTTAGGGCTTGCGGAGAAGCTCATGCGCCAAAGCCGTATGTGATTCGTTTCGTTACGAGCTCTGCGGAAGCACAAGGCTGATATGATAGTAGAAAGAGCGATGTTCGAAACCTATGGCGCAGTCTACGTCTCCCTACACGTGCGTGTCTCGAACGTCGCAGCTATTGCGCTGTATCGCGATACTCTAGGATTCAAAGTGGGTGGTACTGAGGCCAAATACTACGCCGATGGCGAGGATGCATTTAGCATGAGAATGGAACTGGACTATCTAAGGGAGGAAGCTCTGGATGCAGAATCTGAGGACGAGGCGCAGGATGAGGGAGAAGAGGTTGGAAGCGCTGGCAAGGCTGGCGAAGGTGTGTCAAAAAAGAAGGAGAAGAAGAGAAAGGTCAAAGTGGGCAGGCAAGTTGGAGTCGCCGACTTGGTGGAAAGAGTTGCGCAGCCTGCCCAGACGAACGGCACATCATAGCATCAGGCTTAGATCTAATGTTCTCCAAGAGCGGGACATGGCGACAGCTGGAATGTGCTCAGCGCCGATTTGAACGCTTCTCGATGCCTCAATTTTAGACTCTTCTCAGCAATCGGGATCCTGATCATTCGAGCTCAGCTACGACGCAAGGCGCAGACAGTCATACTATCTGCGACGATGCCACGTATACTCCCCTTGCCACATCCACCGGCAGCAAGGTGCGGTACAGCCAAAAGGATACACGTCTTCTCTCGGGTGGCACAGTGGATCCGTTCTCTGGCGTATCTGCTTCTTCGAGCGAGCATCAGGTGGAACACTGTGGGTAGGATATCTAGCATTTTGAGGCAAAGGAGTCCCTGGGCTGCTCAGCATATGAACGGTGTAGAGTAGGGACAGGATACAGTAGAACAAGATACAGTTCTTGGTCTGAATATCAGAGGCAAGCGCAAGGATCCTCATTCGTGCCAAGCCGGTGCATGTGACAGTTGGCACTTCTCCTTTTTGTATACATGTATAGCTCACGTTCCATTGACGCACGACGAAAATATTCTATCGGCTGGTCTTCGGAATCCATGCGAAGTACCTTGAAAACCCACCCATGCTGAGACCTTTCGTCATGTGAGACAACCGTGCTCGTGACAAGCACTCCACTCCACACCCTACAATCCAGCAACTGACCTTCACCAGCGACAATATGCAAAATGAGCCACACCACGCTCGCATACACTACAAGGAAGCCATTCTCGCTCTTTATGCAATGGTCAAAACGTTATCACGCAAAATCTCCCCCTCGCCCCCGAATCTCTTCACAATGGATCGCAGAATCAATAAAAGCACGCCTTCAAAATGCCTTCTTCCAATCCACCAAACCACAACAAAGCGAATAGCAACACCAACACCGAAACCCACAACCCCAAACGAAAAAGTTCCAACAAACACCACAACTCCAAACACAAACCCACAATGCCCTACTGGCCAGGCTACGGCAACACTCTTCCACGCATGCAAACGCAGGACTACATGACCCCTCGAACTCCTGCATACCGAGTCCCTTATGGTGTGAGCCCGGGACATAGACAGTCAGGTCTACCTTCGTCTTTCGGCGGCTTGTATTTGGCTCGTGGAGGTACGGGAATGCCACAACCGAACCAGTATGCGAGCGAGTTGCGGAATTTTCGGAATATGGGGGCTTGGAACCGTATGCAGGGTGGTGGGTGGCGAGGGTGGTAGATGATGAGGGATTGATGGGAGGGATGACTGCTGAGTGGTATGCATACCAACTAATCATTTGAGCGTTCTAGCGAGGTGTTAGCGGAGGGGTGGCATTTTATGGCGTGGGATTTGATGGGTAGATAGATCTCGCCGGTCAAGCTCATGATACAGCAAGCTGGCCGAGGCCTGCATATGGAGTGGTAGATAGAAGATAAGCATGAAGTAGCCCATGAACAAGAGCGACATGAATTCCGCGCGAGCCTCATCTCATGACCAGTTGCGGTTGTAGGTAGAGTCGAACGATACATTGGGCCCTCTGACACTGTCTGACTACCTCTCGGGAGTGCACTCGCGACAGATGACCCTGCAAAACAGCCTGAATTTGTTCGGTCGCTCGTAGGTAGTACCTCGGCCTCAGGCAAACTTTTTGCAATTGTTCGTCTCAAAGGTTGCACGAGCTTCTCCTAGATATGTTGAGCTCCAGCTATTTCATTAGGATCCAGATTCTGATCCGAGGAGATGAAAGCTTGTACTTACCACACACCATCCCAGAAAGAGAACTTCCTCACTGTCGACTTGCAAATGTAAGTCCTGTAGGCAGCTGCTTCAGCCTCCAAGCTCTCCGATCTGCTCCCAGACATGCTTCGATGGAGCTTATATGACCCAGGCCGACATTATCATAAGCCAGCCTCTCCAGTCGATTAAAGACATCCTTATATGTTCCGAACAGATCGTCCACGGAGGTGGGAAAGCACATCATGATGTCGAAGCGCAGACGCTCAATGGCGAGAGGCCGCCGAAGCTCCCTGCTGTAAATGAAGCACGGCCCGTTGAATACTAGTAGGTTGAACAATGACCATAACGCCCGATATGCTCCAGTGCTGAACTCGTTGCCGAACCCGGTCACCTCGAAGATGCGCAGGTCGACCTGGATGATGGGATTGATCTGTGGCGTCACAGGCAGAGAAAGCCAGGTTGGCCAGATAGACGAGCCCTTAACCATGATATCGAGGCGCGCCTGACCAGCGCCCACATCGAGACAGTGCTGCCTTAGGGTATCTCGAAGCTCTGCTAGAATCTGTTTGCAGCACAGCTTTAATCGTAGCAAAGCTGGTTTTGGCGACTTGGCCTCGAAATGAATGGTCTGTCCTGATATCGGTGAATTGGGATTGCGAGGACCAGCGTGTCCAGGATCCATAGGACGCTGTCGCTTCTCATCTAGTAGAAATGCATATATCATATCTCGCATCTCGCGCGGGATACCGAGCAAGGTCGCATCCAGGCGTCCACCGACATCGCCACGGCCAGGCATCGATGCTTCGCAAGTGTAGCTCAGGTCGGTTGTCATTGACTGCTTGAGTGGGTTCGTCAAGAGGTCGGATTGTCTGCATGACGATAGAACTAGGAAGTGTTGTGGACCACTATCGCGTTCCAAGACTGGCAGCTTGCAATGTATTTGTTTTGATTACTAATCGTATATATCTCGATTACCGAGGCTAGTAAACTTCGATAGCTAAAGGCTCTTCAACTCTACAACTATAGGCCCAGGTATCTTTATATTATATATAATGTAGCTATTTATAAGGTTCTAGGAATACTATACTAGTTTTAGAGAATATTATTATTTTAGTTTCTATATATATCTATGCCCTAGTTTATTAAGGAAACTTTTATAGTCTTACAATTCTTAATTAT